CAGTCAGTTTTTTTAATCGAGGACAAAAACACAACATGACACTTTACAAATTGGGAGCTCTATGTCGTTGCAACACTGCTAAGCCAAACTCATTGTTGACACTCTTGTCCTGTCAACTTTTCCACTACTCAGTAACAATAACAAGAACAAACCTGGTGATATTAGTTTAATGTGTTTGTATCAGGTAAGCACTTGCATCCATTAGGAGTGATGAACATGCCCAAACACAGGTCTGTTGTTCTCCTAACCCCTGTCAGATCATCAGCTAATGTCAAGACGGTTTGCCGATATCGCGTGGGGAGCTGGAGGTTTGAGCCCGATGACACGAGGTTAAACAAACAGACCTGCATTAGTTCACTACACCGTCTGTGCCCAACCCCTATAGGTGAGGTTGTGTGGGCACGTAGGAACAGAAACACACCACTTTCCATCCCTTCCTTTACTTTCAAAACACACCCATACACACATCTGTTGGTAAATCACGACTTAAGTTATATTTTTAGACAAGGGCTGTGATAGCTGCCGTGGATGATGGTTATCTGCCTCCACAAGGTTCCCCGCTCGGCCCGCACCTTCTGACTTGTTTACTCTGCCACCGTGTGGAAATGCAGGCAGCTCTGATGACACCGCTGTAGCAGATGTGGATCAGATCTTGCAGGTCTTTGCTATGCCATGCTTTGGACTCCAGTGTTTATTGTTTTTGAAGCAGCTTGCATTCGCACTCAGGGCTTCTTCAGCCCAACATGAGTAGTGACCATGTTTTTAAAGTTTACAGTTCGTGAAAGTGGACCATGGCGTCCTCTTTCTAAAATGCATTCCATCATATGTTGATAGATAAGGAGAGTGTGCCTGATTTAGCGGCGCCAACACCAATTTGGAAAACAAAAATCACAGCATTAAATGTTGTAATTTCCAAAACCACAATAGATTCCAATGTTTCTTTTATGGAAAGCAAAGCCAAGTCCCACCCAGCAATACAATATTATCGGTTTGACATAATCTATGGCTAGATACGGGTTCTAACTGGGTGACGAAAACATAATAAAAACACCGAGAAGAGTCGGAAGATCAAAATCTTATTTTCCACACCCACAAGCTGTTTTTTCAGCCACATGAATATCCTGTATAAAAATGTTTTGTCCCGACGTGCCACAGTGGATGATGAATCTTGGCATAAAAAAGAAAATATTTCATAATGGTGGTATTTCTGTTCTACATGGGTTGTTGTTGCACAGCGTGGTGGATCGTCCTACCAAGTGTTTAGGTGTCGGGTTCACTTTCACAGTTGCAGTTTTGCCATATTCATTTCAAAACAACGATGTTTTGTTTTCTTAACCTCACCCATCTTGGTAAGTGGTGGAGATGTTCATTGCAACTAATTTCCCTGTCGGCCAAACAGAATTTTAAAAGGCAGACTACGCTACATACACACACACACTACATATCGTGTGCAGTCTTTGTCGAGATGAGCTGTGTTATTTTTCAGACTGAGCGGGATCACAGCTTCTGCAGGTAAACAATGTGTGATCTGTTAGCCGTGTGTGGCTAATGTTAGCAGTGCCGGCACCTACAGCCTTCGGTCCTTCTTTCAAGTTAACATCCAGATGCCTGTGCTTAATGTATTTACACATTGGGTCCACTGTGACATCCGTCCACTGTGCTGGTTAGCAGAAGAGCGGTGCGGATAGCCTACATTAATAAAAATATTAACATTAACTTTAACTGACCGGTAATTCTGGTGCCAACTAGCCAGAGTGATTACATTTAGTTATTTAGTCGATATCCCTAGTTATTATATTTCGCTTTCCTCCACATGCAGTTTTTTAAAAACCCCAGTGAGGACTTTTTAACGGGATATAAAACAGGCAAAAAGAATTAACGGCCCCTCCAACCAGTATTATATCTACCCGTGTCACAACGCTCTTCCTCTTCTAGTGATTTTCATTGACGAACTTTGGTTCTCACGAGAGTAATACATGATATGCTAAGTAGGCCAATGAGAGTGAGTGCTGTCAGATAGGGCCCCATGAGGGAGGTTTACTACTGTTGCTGCAAAATTTGCTCATTTTTAAAGTACTGCTGTGGTTTGCCAGCCCATGGAGGGGCCCCTAAGTGGTTTGGGGCCCAAAGCAGTTGCCTAACTTGCCTGTTGACAAGCAGCGCCTCTGCTGTTAAAGGACGGCAGGAAGAGATTTTTTATTTTGGCAGAGAACACATCCTGGGCAAGTTCAGCAAAGCAATAATACTACTTTGTCTGAAGGGGATGCCAAAATCGACAGAATCCGAAAGTACCTCACAGGAGCTTCAATTATCTACGTCCTAACCTCATGGGGCTCATGGTTAACAAAAGCTGCTTTTCATTTTATGGATTGTCTTTTTAAAAAGATCAAATATGTTTCAGGTACAGTTAGCCAGGTAATAAAGAATGGACTGACATTGTTCTAAAAGGGATTCTGCAGTATTGAGATTTAGGAGTGGTGTAACATTGTCAAGCTCGACTCTCAGCGTCCAAAATGGAGTGCTGCTTCAGTGATTCTCACTCCCCTGTATTTATGTGATGAATCTTGCACACCGAGTAGATGTTTTGAATTAGAGATGATGGACACAACAATTACCCAGAAGACAGCTACGAAAACAGGCGTTTAACAGTTGATCCATTTGTCAGACACAAGTCTGCCGTTTAAATTAAAGCTCTGCAAATCCACCCATTAGTCCTGTGGCCGTTCCCTAAGTTCGTCCTCAAAACGTCTGATCAGAACGGTGCCTTTGGGTCATCAATCAGGGAGCAAGACACCCAGACAGACGTTCCTGTCCTCCTTCGCGGAGATGCTGCCCACATGCCAGTCAGCCAGAGGAATCCTCGGGCTTGTGGTCGAGACGACGGGGGGAAGGGGGAGCAGACTTGGCGGATCAGGAGGGTTTCAGGCTTGGAGCAGTACGCGCATTCCTCCATGTCTCTCTGTCTTCCTCTGCTGATGTCTCACTCTGTCCTTCTCCATCTCTCTCTCCCTCTTGATTTTCCCCCATCCATCTCCATTTCCTGTTCCTGAAGCCCCGATGGGGTTGTCAGACAGGATCGTGGATGTTTCCCCGGTGTCCTGTCCTCAAATGCTGAACTCTTGTCTGCCTGGCCTGAGAATGCCCTGTGCTCATCTGCTCTGTCCACTTTAATATCTGATAATTATTCACATCCACAAAAGTTCTTTGAGTCACCACCTCCGCACTGATTTGCTTTTCTTGAGTAACGTGTTGGCTCTTCAGTCTTTGGATCAGTCGTCACTGTGACTGTTTCCCTTGAGTGTTACTACTTTCTAAACGCTGCCCGTTTTCCTGTCTTTGGATGCCTTCCTGGTCATCTTAAGAATGACTTGGGAAATACATTTTTTGGATCCTCTCACCTGATAATTCTACAGATGCACCCTGAACAGTTTCTCAGGTTGCAGTAAATTCCAGTGTTCAATCCCTCGCTGCAACTTTACGGACAAGTTTTGCAGATTGGACATTTTTCTCACTTGACAACCTCTCGGTCATTATTTTGGTTTTTTATCCAAAATGGTTTATCCAACAATTACGCCTCATTTAATTTGTCACAGCTGGATTACTGTTTAGCTTATGTTACATCAGCCACACTCTTACAAGCAGAGGAAGGAAGTCCACCTTGCAACAGCGGGTGTAAATTTGCTTACTTGATCTTGTTGCTGCTCAGAATTTTAAGCTTGTGCACCAGCTTTGTTTTTGCTACACCTGAAGTCCTCTGTCTCTGCTGGCATTGGCCTAAATTTGCTGAAATTTCCTAACTGCACAATCTTTGTTTCTGTACAAATGAACGTACAATGAGATCCCTCTTTTGGAGAATTAGAGATACAGAATCACCAATCTTCATGGTTACAAACTGGGATGTTTTAAACCATTTGTGGTTATGATGAAATGGATACTGCGACAAGCCTGATAAATAATAACTGAAATAAATTGCAGAAGATTGTGAACAAGAACTTATTTAGAAGATGTACTCAGCCCTTTGAGAGATAATAGAGGAGAATAATATCATTACCTCCTCTGTCGACGTCTCTTGTACAGTAGTGTGTTTCTACAGTAGTAGAGGTGCAGCTAGAAGACAGATACGATCTCTGGTAATTAACTCTGAGTCATACTCTGATCTTATCCTGAATTTGGCCCACTAGTTATTTCTGTTGGCATGGTAAGTGAAGGGGAAAGGCTCACATACTGTACATGCAGACAGATGGAGAGAGAGAAAACACATCTCCTGAGGGAAGCAGAAGATACTGACAGATACCAGAACACACTCAGTGAAATGACAACACTGGTAAATAAAATACAGTAACCTGCTTTAAAGCTGCACTGGGAAACTCTGTAAACCTGCTACTGGATTTTACTTTATTATTCAGAGCTGATTGAGTCCAGGCTTACAAGTGCTGGTTTTCTCCTCATCAGTGTTGTAGTATTCGAAAACCAAGACGGGTCTCGAGACCACCTTTTGAAGGTCTCGTCTCGGAATTAGAATAATTTTGACTCGGTCTCCTACTGGGCGGACTCCATATGATCCGAGCGTGCCATAGAGCTCCATGTTGTCAAAAATACATTAAAGGGAAGTGCTGTGACCCTGGGCGGGTTTCCCTTTGTTACCATGGATACGGACATTGTCTTTACCATGTTATTTTTTAATTACATAGTGCTGGATTTCTTAAATCATGTATTTCTTAGATGATTTTCTATTAAGACTTTGTTTATGTTACATTGTTTTGATTCTACTTCTGGTTTGGATAGGTGGTACTCTCTGAAATATTTGATTGTAGCATTCTGAAGGCTTTCTATAAGCTTGGCATGAGTTGATCATTGTGGTGTTCATTTTGTGGTGCTTCCGTAGCAGTCGTTAGCTGGTGTGTTTTTTTTTTTCTTAGTCACACCTGCAGAAATCAGTCAAATCCATGTCTGTAAAATATATTTATTTTTCATCTGTGTATCTGTTGGTGTCTTTGCAGGACTACCCCAGGAACAGACATCCAGGGTGGAGCCGGGGGTCGGTGGCGTACCATGCTGGTGAGAATTCAAGTCCCCCACTTTTGCTCAATTCCTGTATGTTTTGGTTGGTGTTTTCTTCTGGGCTTACTTATTTAAGTGAATCTATTAATTTTACTTTACCTATTTAATGATCTTACCTATCTATTTTTTATTCAAATCTTTTTCTAATCCTCAAAAGTCATTGAGGTCTTTTACAATAAATGCTGAGACACATTTAAAACAAAGCAAAGATGATTCCCAGTGAAAGCAGTTGCACACCGTGGTGAAGTGGTTTCACATCATTGTCTTCATTTGTCCAAGAGAAATGAGAGAGTCAGTTTTGCAAATTTGTCCAAAATGTTTGAGCATAAAAACTAAAGGCAGATTTCCCAGATTCAGAGTAAACCTGTGGGACTTGAAGCTTCAGAGAAAGAGCTAGTTTGGTAGGGTCCAATGGTCCAGTGGTGGTAACTAGCTATCCAACTCCTCAAGAGTTAAAGCTAGGAGAATATTTAACTGATGAAGTGCAATGATAGCATGAAGCATGCAGTCAGGGGCGACAGTTTAGCTCAGTGGTTAAAAGCGAATACCTATAAGGCTATAATCCACGGTGACCATGGGTTCACATCTGACCTCAGCCCTTTCTGCATGTCATCCCCCATTTTCTCCTTTCAACGTTTTCTGTCTCTCCTCTGCCTTGCTATCAAATAAATGCCAATTGGCTCCAAAAGTAACTCTTGAGTTCGGCCTGCACATTTCTCGTTTATGACCCCTCAATCCAGTTTCCTGGACTGGTTTTGGGTGTGCAATGTGTGATCTTATCTTCATCTGCTTCATTTGTGTTGTGTTATGCAGATCTTGTGCAATGTGGGTAATGAAAATTTAACCATTTTAAGTGTTAGACTTCAACTTTGAAAGAAACATAGAAATCACAGGCACAAAGAATCAGACATTAAAAACATCAACAAAACATGCAATACATAAAGACTAGAGTGAGCCTACATCAAGAAATGGGAAACTGAGAATATATAAAACCATACATGAAAATATATTTCAAACCAAAAATCAGTCATCAGGGTCATCCGAGGGTACAGTAGCTTGATGGCCGGAGCTATAAGATAATGTTTCAACCTGTTAGACTTTTCTTTTAGTAATCTGTATCTTCTCCCTGAGGGCAGGAACTCAAACCCACCAAACAGAGGATGTACTGTAGGGACAGTGTAAGATCTGAAGCCTAAGCTGCAGCTCTGTTACTCAAGGTGAAAGACAGATCAGGTGATTTAAACACAATGATCTTACTTAAGTTTATGATACGTTTCAACCTATTTTTGTCTCCTATTGATAGATTACCAAAACCAGGTGATAAAGCCAAAAGGTAAGGACAGACTCCAGCATGGAGTTGTAGAAAAGCGTGATTAGTTTCCTGAACACACCAAACCAGTCGAGCTTACTGAGAAGACGTTACTGTGCTTTTCTTACAAACTGCTTCTGTGTTTTCACCGACTGTCAGCTTGTTGTCAGTTAACCCAGGTCCATATAACACTGAACCTGTTCAACAGTCTGTCCCTTCATTTCAGTTTGGATTGGTGGTTTTGACTTCCTTCTAAAATCTGAACACATGTTCTTGGTTTTACTGAGATTTGAGTTATCACACCACTTATTAAAAATCCACCACTGGTCTATGAGCTGTGTCCTCCCCCTGTAACACCTCCCTCTGTGTTTGCATTTAGACATATATATGTGAATATACAGACTGTTGACGTATTCAACATTAAGCGTGTTACTGGAGTGTTCGATTCTAAAGTTTCTAAAATTTACTGGAGGGATGAACACAATTCGCCCCGACTATAATCTCTTAGGGCGCGGTCACACTGGTCATCTATACTGTGCCGTACTCGAGCACGATTGGCCCCCTGCTGCGGCGTGCCCAGGCTGGCCTGCGTGGCCCGCGGTCACACTGCACAGGACTTGTACATAACGTCGTAATACAACACATTCATGCTTTATGTTATCATGCTCGTGCATGAAGTGTGTCCAACTCTGGACTTTAGAGTTGAAGCGTGCTCGGGCACGGTACGTATGGTCCAGTGTGACTGCGCCCTTATTAAGTATATAAGTATAAGTAAGTGATGATGGCTGAGAGCACTGTCCAACTTATCAGTCCAAAATCAACTAGTGGTGATTGAGATCCGGGGACATCGGGTGGCTGTGAACGTCAGACTGTAGGGTGCGATTGGTACCATTTTCATACTCTTCAAACCGTCCTGTGGACTCTACATGCCACAAAACTTGGGCATTGTCGTCCTGGAGCGATCACTCCCATCAGGATGGAAATGTTTCACAACAGGATAAAGTGATCATCGTATTAAGTTGTTGAGATCCTTTCCCTTCAAAGGAACAAATTGACCCCAAACCATGCCAGCAAAACACCCTCAAGGTACAGCAAAGCTTTACCTTTAATTTGATTCCTGCTTTTATCAGCAATCGCAGCTCATTGGGCTCTCAAAACAGTTCTTGGAAAATGGAAACATATCTTACATTCCTACTTTCCAAGTTCTCAGAATAAAAGATTGAGTGTTTATTTGCTTGGCAAGTTTGGAATTTCCCCTGAATGAAATAAATAAATCTGATCTACTTCCTTCCAGAGCATCTCTGCTGCTGCCTCTTAGATAGAAACATCACAGGGCACCGTCTCAGCAGGATGTTAAGGTGCCTGGCACAAACAGAGATCAAGGAGGATTGCCAAGAGATGAAACAGACTAGTGACAGCATCAGAAAGAGGAGAAGGATCGTATCTCCCTGGCTTCTTTCTCTCTCGTTTTTTTTTTGTGGGAATTTGCTTATCTCTTTAAGCGGTGAACCAAAAAAACACAAGACACAAAAACAGAGTTTAGATATCTTTATCTTCCGATGAATCCACCCACTCACAAGTTTGTTTGTGACGACAGGGCCTGTTCACATTATCCATACAGGCATCTACAAAAGCTCCCTGTGCAGGCCTCAGCCCCCTCCCCCCCTCCTTGATATCAGCGCTAAGAGATTAGCTATCAAACGCTGCTCCATGATATGAGACAGGCGGCAGTGAGGTAGGTGGTTATTACATCGTTCAAGCTAACAGTAGGAAGTTTTATTTTGGTCTGGAGCGTCACATTGTTGAAACATTCACATCCCTTCAGGGTTTAGCTTTTAGGCTTTTTCTGCGATTGTTGCAGCCTCACAACGCCTCGAATTCACAGCAGTGTTTTGAAAAATCTGCAATGCAAGTTGAGATGTTTTGAGAATTGTTTGTTTGTTTTGACGCTTTAAACAACAGCTGACACTGACTGGGAGAAAGGCTCCAATTAAAGTCATCCATTGGTTGAGCCAACTGATGGATTTACCTGTTAAGAAACCAAGAAAGTGAATGAAACTTTAGAAAATTACCTTGAAAAAAAAAATTTTTGCAATTCACTTCCACATTTCAATGCTATACAACTGTACATATGGAACCATTGATAGGAGACGAATGATTGAACAAACACTCTTTGAGATCAGCGCTGCCTTATAGTTTAATGAGGCTGGTTGGTGGAAATTTTGGAAAGAGCCTAGGATTTGTTAATTGCCTCAAAACGAGGCACCAGGAAGTGGCTAAGTGGACGGCTAACGGTTTTCAAATTGGATAAATAATCACATGAAGACCTTTTTGTACTGGGCTGCAGATCAAGGTCAGATGTGATACACAGTGAACCACACTCTGCAATGTTTACACAACCCTGCACACCTATGGGGATCAATACTTTGAATATCTAAAAAGAGTACAAGTTGATGCTTGTTGGGTGTAATGCACAAAAAATTTGCAGAGATTTGTTAAAAATCACAAGATTTGAAGAAAACTTTTGGGGATCGGAGGAATTTGTGTGACTCTGAATCTGCTGAATCACAAGACGGTAACTTCCTGGAGTGACTGATCTAAGCTGTTCTCACACGCTAGACTTTTAAATGCGCTACAGATGTCGCCGTCTTTCGTTGGGTTTTTTTCCACGATAAAACATGTTTTGATTTTATTTTTAGATGAAGGTTTATGAACTCTCTTCTGCTGACCTTCGATTCTATCCAAACACATTTTTCTTGTTCACTCTGCACATTCCATTCATGTTTCCAGATGATGTTTTTACTTCTGATCGCCCCATAAACCAGATTCCTTTTATACTTAAGATACTTAGATAATAATAACAGTTGACGCTGTAAGTCCTGCCGGGCCCCGGTGGATGATTCCTCATGCTGAGTGACGGACGGGGCCAGTCATTCACAGGGGCTCACCGTGCCAGTCCCAGAAGTCTTGCGCTGCGGTCCGCCTGGTTTTGGCCGCTGAGCGTCCGACACCACAGAAATGTGCACGCCCCAGCACAGTTCCCATTAATCTTATTTGTTAGAGACTAAAATGATGTATGTGGTTTTCCACGCTGAGCACATGAGGTCTGACTTCCGCATGCTTGGGTTAAGGTGTCGGCTCTGATCCAGCTACTTGAAAATCAACAGTCGTGGGCCTCTTCTTCACGTCTCCCCCCTCAATCCTTCACGCAGATTTTTCACCCGAGCAGCTCAGGAACCTCAAGAATTTCATGCAGCAATCTTTGGCATCGAGACAGAAAATTAATGTATACACAGTATTATATACCTTGGGTCAGATAACCACAGCAGAAATTGCTTAAAGAAGGACTGACCTCAGCTGTGCTACCTCGGTTTTTTGGTGCTCAGTGACTGAGCAAGACTGCTGGGTTTTGTGTCACTTTGTGGGTCTGTTTATGAACTTTTATGGTCAATCTTTGTGTTCGACTCGGTATCTTAACAGGGAGGAAAGTCTGCCAGGATCTTCTTGGCAGGTATAAGCTTCATATAGACTGCTGATCTCATTGTTATAGTTTTTATTAAGCTGTTCTCCAGTGCACTCTAGGTGTTGGTAAGGTTTTTTGTTCATTAGCTTCAAAGAAAACAGTGGCTAGATTTGGATTTCACAGCCTGGAGGCAAAGACATAAATTACATAATAGTCCAATGCAACAACATTTTCTTATGTCTACTACATATGCACATTGAGCTCTGTGTCTATCACCCTGATTTATGGTGCGTTATATTGGGCACCATGATGACCTGGATCACATGTTATGTGTGTTATAAACTTTAAGACGTTTTAAGACAGATTTATTCCAGTTATATACATAGACGGCTGCCAACCGTATCGCTGCTCCTTTGTATAGCTTGTATAGTTTGAGAGTTCTTTGGCCCGGCGCTGGTGTTACCGCGAGTGTTTGTGTTGGGAGGCATCCCAGTGCGACCTCCATCCTGTGTGTTGGCTCGGCCCGGCTCCGCAAGTTAATGGGCCATGGGGCACTGGCGGGGCCCCGCTAGGCCCCTGTGGGTCCTATCAGGTGCAACCAGCCATCCAACCAGTGAGTGTTCCTCAGCAAGCATCATTAACCCTGTCACCCCTCCAATCCCCCCTCCCCCCCATCAGTGACTCACACGTGCAGTGACTCAACACCCGCACCATCCATCGACCCGAGATAATAGACCTCAGTCTAAATTCTGGTTATCAGTGACAGGGTCTAATCTGATCCCAGCTCAGGTTCTTCAAAAACATATTCAACACACACAACATGTTGTGTTGGGGGATTAGATTACCGTCTTACCTAATGGGACAAAAATGGATGACGAAAGAGATTCTGATAAGAGAATTTAATTTGATTTGAGCGTTGATGTGCCCGATGACGACTGGAAGAGAATATTTTCATCACTGACCAAACTGCACATTATTGTTTAATTTATTCACTTGGTCTGCCTTTTGATGCGACTCTACCCAACTTTGTCCTCCATTTGTTTACTTACTCTCCTCAGATATCCTTTGAGTTTAGATCAGTGGTTCTCAACTGGTGGGTCGGGACCCAGTATGGGGTCGTGGAGCCATTATCAGTGGGTCGGGAATGTGTGCCTGGAAAAAAAACTTGTATCAAAAAGTCTGTGAAGCGCTTTTTAAACGTGTTTGTTTAGTTCAGTTTCTTGCTTCAGTGACATGTTTTGTCACGACTGAGATCCGAACGGCACAATTTTTCAGTATTGGTTGAATATTCTCAAAAACAAATCGATGTAGAGGATCGTAACCTTAGCAACCGCTCTTAATAACCTCAGAGTTGTCACCGTGGCTTAATCGCTCCTCACACTGGATCCTTCTGTGGCAGGTTGAAAAAAAGATTGTTTTAGATTTATAGAAACTCACATGGCAGCTGCTTAATGGAATTTATAGTAAATTCTAGGAAACACGTGCTTACACACGTGTGTGAAATCATGGAAGGAGTATAAATATTTAGTTTTAATTTCCTTGTTTTAGGAGTCTGTGAAGTCATTGTTCCCTGGGCAGGGAAGCCCGGTCTTTTCCAGACAAACTCTCATGTTACCAGAAAGCCTGTTTTCTTCTTCCCAGCTGGTCTCAGAGCTCAGTCAGGTTCTCGTAGCCATGGAGCCGTCCCTCTTCCTGCTGCGGGCCCGGATCCAAACCCCAAACTAAAGCTCCACTTTTCAGCTTCCTATTGCCGCCTCGTCCCTCTAAGACCCAGCACCTGGTGGCGGTCACAGTAGCCGCCATTGTTAGCTTTGCTGATGGCGGCCTCACTTTATGATCTTGACTTTTGCATTAACACCATCACCAGACCTCTGCGCCACACACTCGCCAGCAGCACAGCCAAACCTCGGTCAACACTTCCATGCTAATTTTAAACTCCGCAGTCTCCAAAACAAATTAGAACTTTTTTCCGCCACAGCTTTGCTCCAAGTCTTGTCTGCTTCCTGAATCCCGTTTTCCAGTGTTATAACAACAGGAGCACATTTGGGAAAAAGCAACAAAAACACTTCATTCATGTTAGAGCTTGAACACAGATACATTTACACGTCTACTAAAGGTAGTTCTAATGTGCTTACTGCGCTGGACGTTTGCTAACTCTCTGCCAAAGAAAATACTAATAAAGTCATGCTTAACAATTTATTAAGTTAATCTGTTCAGTGTCCTTGTCATGCATTAAACACACTAAACTGAGCCTCTGCTGCGTCTATTGTCACCTTCTTAAACAAAAAAACAAAAAACCTTCTGGTTTTTTGTTTCCCCCAACTTATCTGAGGAGCAGTAATAATTGTTTCCAAGCCCTCGCCCTTAAATGAGCCCTTAAATGTTCCCTTATTGTTGCTGTAAAGACTGAAATAAACACAGCGGCTAAACTAAACTGAAAGATGACACATTTTTAGAGCAATAAGAAATGCTCTCCTTGTGCAAACGACAACAACATCAAAAATCTAGCTTCACGTTGTACTTCAGGACTATGCATGCACTAAATATATTGCTGAATGCAGGAAAGTTTTGCAGACATAAAGCTTCAATGAGTCCGTTGACCTTGTTTGCAAATCCAGATATCCTGTTAACATTGTCAAACGTCTCTTTTTTTTAATGGGAGTCTATGGAAAAACTTTAAACAGAAGCTGAATAGAAGCGTCCTCTTGAGATTACAATATGAAATAGAAGAAGATATACTTCATTAATTTACATGTTGTCGTTGAACATGCTACACACATGATCCTGTAAACATGCACTAATGAAGAGATGTCAGAATGATGGGGGCACTGGTGGGGGGTTCAGTACTCAAGGGGCACCACAGCAGTGCTCAGGCATCTCTTCAGCTACCAGACCAATTTCCAGCACCGGGACTTGAACCAGCGACCCTCCTGTTCCCAACCAAAACCCCTACAGACTGAGCTACTGCCGGTAGTGTAATATGCCAGCGTTATGTATGACATAATGTACCACATGCATTGGACAGCAACATTGCTTTCTCAGAAATATAACGACAGACCTTTATCGTCCCTGCATCTTCTCGAGAATATAGAAATCCCTGATCTCTTTGTCTCCCTGTTTCACGGACTTTTACAGATTCTGTGGGATAGTAGTCAAATTCTTCTTTGAGAACTGCTGACTGCTGGTGTGTCGAGAAGATGTAACACCCACATCCTGCCCCTGCCAGCCCAAATATTTACACCAACGTCCCATCACATGTTTCCACAGCCCTCGGCTGAATGTACTTTTTTTAGGCTAATGATTAGTCTAATCTCTACGGAGATATGAAACAGATCGAAAAGCCTCAAATCCTCACATTGTCCCATAAATGGATCAAATGTTCTTTTTTGACTCCATCCAAATTCCTCTCTATCTTTGAACTACCAATTGTTCCATCGCTAATCTCATTAAGTATCAAGAATACTGAAGAAATAACACTTGTAAACACAAAACAAGGATTTTATTTTCTCTTTAAAATCACATGTTGTTATGGCGGACAGCCTTTACAGACGCATCTTTTCAGAGGATGGGAGAGTAACGAGGGAGTGCTTTAAGGATATTAACAGATTTTACACTTTGATTTCGTGCACAATTGTTCGTCATCAGATAAAAACATCAGTGTAAAAAAAAAAAACGAACAAATTTGACAATAACTGCGGTTACTGCAGCGAACGTCCCTCCTGCCCTCGAGGCTTCTCTTACGGCTTCTGTCCCCCGAGATCCCGCCTCCATCCTCATGCCCAAACCTGGACTTCCACACCCCTGAGCTCACCTCCACTTCCCGTCCTTTTCACTCTCCAAAGCCTTTCTCTTCTATTTTTAGTGACTCTGTGCCGGCGTGGCTCCACTGTTTGCAGAGTGTGTGGTGTTGTGACAAGGGCCCGCATGGGAGCCGTAATGATACAGTGTCTCCATCTCCCTCCCGGTGCTCAGATACAGATTGTTTAAACAGTATCCTGAGCCGGGGACGGGTCCCATGACAACTCCATAAATATTTACCAGCAGCAGCCACGCCGCTTCGCTTGACGAGAGCTCGTCTGCAGGCTACCTCTGCAATGTTGATTCCCCCCCACACCCCACCCTCTTTTTTTTTTTTCTATTGTTGTCTCTCGCAACTGTAGTATGTGTTGTTTTGATGATTTCCTTTGGTTGTTGTTGTGTTGTTGTAAGTGTGTTTTTTACTAGCGCTGCGTTCGCCCTTTACACATCATCATCTGCCTGGAATGTCAGGATGTCCTGAGTGTTAGCACTGCGTCGTAGCGCACACCCGTAGCTGCATGCTTTGGTAAACACATTTAAAGACATGATGGAGTGCATGACTGGTCAACCACGTTTAGCAACAGAAGCCGCAAAAAAAAAAAAAGTGTAAAATGCGTATCCTGAAGTTTTTTCAGGACTTTTCAAATCCTGAAGCTTGCAGAAATTAAAAGATACTGAAATCTGACTTTTAAACATTTAAAACATTTTCCTCTCCCATCCTGTGTGCACTAACATAAATTGCAAAAAAGCTAGTTTAGAAGAGGAAATTGGATTGTTGTGCTGAAGAGCTGAAGGTGTCTAATCCACCTCTGACCTGTAGCAAAACTACTGCCAGCTAGATTCAGTCTGATATATAGAAAGATGCCAAACGTAAGCTTATAAGAGATCTTTCAGTATTAACCTTTATGTTATCTGATATGCAAACTACAACAAATGTCTCTCTCTCTCTCTCTCCTCTCTCACAGATGACGGTAAGATCTTCCACGGCAGCGGGGTCGGGGACGCCTTTGGCCCCCGATGCTTTAAAGGGGACATCATGGGCTGCGGCATCATGTTCCCACGGGACTACATCCTGGACGGAGAAGGTGAGGGGGGGCCGAGGCTTTCAGGTGCCACAGTTACCCTGATGTCACTCACTTAATGCAGTTGGTGTGTCAGTGGGAGGTTTCGCTTCTTGTGGTTTAGCAGAGGCAACATTCGGTCTTAACTGAGTACTTTGTGTTCTGTGTGGGAATGAAGTTGGATTCAAGCGATGATTCCCCTGCAGAGAAACTCCCCTCTCCTTCCAAGTCTCTACAGGACAAACATGAGCTTTCCTGCTCTCAGGTGGTTTACATTTATAAAGCTGTGAACTATTTGAGAGTGCTGTAGTATTCTAGTTTACAGTCAGAATATTACAGTATTGTTTTAGGGGCTCACTAACAACTCTAAACATCTCAGGTTGTAGCATTAATCAACATGTTTTTGCCGTCTCACTCTGTGTGCACTCTTGTTTCCTGTCCCGGTGTTTAATCAGTGAGCACAACCTGCAGCCCAGCGGTCTGCTCTAACACGCTGTGTGCCCGGTTTGTCCTCAGGTGACATGGAGGACTGGCTGGAGATCCGACAAGGCCGCGCAGGCGTCCAGAACGTTCTGTACCTCAACGACGACAACGACGAGGATGAAGAGGAGGAGGAAGAGGAAAATGGAGAAGAAGCAGATCAGGGACAGGGGGGCAAGAAGGTCACGGTGAGGAACTCTCATCAACACACACACACAGCTGGGGTAATCATCACAACATGTGTGTGAATGTGACATGTTTTAGATCCATTACACTCAAGACAAATGTCTAACTACTTACCGTACTCTTTCATGTTCATTTATTAACTATTGAACAACTCAGTGTTGATATGCATGCTGCTCATGCAGACCAGCATGTTATGCACACTTACGTTTACAGGTTAGTGCTGCACAATTAATCAAAATTAATCACGATGCAGATTTTAGCTTTCCAACGATCGACTGCGATCATTTGTGTTTAACTGCGTGCTCCAGCTGTAGAAAACTCTGTGTGGTTGTTTATTGAAAACATGTATTTTTTAAATACATCACCCTCGTTAAAGGAAGTTTGGTTCTGTATCATGTTCATTATGTAGGTCTGTTTTCTCTTACCTTAAACGCACTGTATGTAAAATCCACCGTCAGGGGGCTCTCAATCAAAACAATAACAAAAGATGACGTCGAGGCTGGCGGGGAATCATGGGAGTGATTCTCTGCTACTCCCCCCCCCCCCCCCCCCCAGCCCCTAAGGTGAAAATGAACTCTGTGTTGACCCTGGTAAAGACGAACGGGTGAAACCGACCTGAGAAGGACAATATGTTTACTGACAATGTATCTGAGTTTACGTTGTGACGTTTTTATCACAGCAGCACATACAGCAACAGCACCCCCCCCCCCCCCCCCCTATAATCACATTTAAAACCCAGCAGTGGGTTTTCGCCGTCATAAACTTGACATTTGAAAATGCCTTCAATAATCAATTGGATATAGACTGTATTGGCAGTTAATTTTCATTGGCTTGACTACTTCATTACTCGCGGCTCTAATTCAAAGCATGAAGCCCCTCGTGAAGCCCCTCAGCCACACATGGACATCTCTGAATCTGTTTCCCCATGACACTGTGCAGAGTTTCCTAAGCACAAATAATCAAAGTCAACGTCTGGAAAAACATCTTCTTCACAGATGAACCAAATGAATCCAGCCGATCAGAAGCTGCTTGTGTTTATTCATGTAACTCGAAACTGTTGACTGAGTGCAACTTGCAGTTACAAATCTGGTTGTAAAATTAGCTTTTTGTCTTCCTTTCTGGTGAAGAGACGTTTGAAAGACGGCTGTGGCGGCTGTTTAAAAGACAAAGAAATCACATTTTTGTGATCGAATTGGCAGCACTAGAAACAACGACTTTGTGTAGACAGGATGTCACCCACCACTGCAGAACGGTGTTGTCATGGAAACGTGTTCTTTTTAGCATCCACTTGATGATTGTAGCTGCAGTTCTCCGTCATCGTTTCCATCGCCCTTTAAATACTGAAATCAACAAGTTAACTACAAATGGTGTTTCTGACCCGCTGATGTTATAACCGTGCTGTAGCCGGTTAAATAATTGGTTAAAAAGAGGTCGTGGACCCGCCAACCCAAATCCTCCCCTTTTCCACCAAATTTAAACGTTGAAATCGAGTTAGTGCTCGTTTTGCTGCCTCATCAGGGGATGGCGTGTGTGCCCCTCTTGAAATCTTACTGGCCATCCCAAAATCCTTGACTATTATTGGCTATTTTCCTTGCCAGTGTTGAAATCAGAGTCAATTTTTTAAATACTTAAAATCTTGACTTTGGATATGGTAAATGGTAAATGGACTTGAGCTTGTATATTTATTTTCTCGTCTTCTGACTACTCAAAGCACTTTTACGCTGCCTACACATTCACACACTGATGGTAAAGAGTCCATCAGAAGTTACTAATCCCATTCACACACCGCCAACAAAGCAGAGGGAGCAATTCGGGGTTAAGTATCTTGCCCAAGGACACATCGGACATGTAGCTGTAGGAGCTGGGGATCGAACCCTCGACCTTCCGATTGACTCTACCAACTGAGCCACAGCCGCCACCCAATCCACATTATTTTTCAGTACTAAGAATGAAGCTGAGAGGATACGTTTCCTTTATCTTGTTACTTAAAAGTCGATGTGATTAGTGCAGACAGAAGGGCTAACTCAATGCTCTTTAGGCCACCCCTTCATAAGTCAGAGCCCCAGTTGGGTCACCCCAGTCCAAAAAGTCTGGACACGCCCCTGCTCAGCAAACGAGGGAATCATTACTTCATGTGGTCGAGAGTACGTATGTTGTTGTTTTTTTTATTCCATAAGATCCTTCAATAACGTTTTAAAGTGTTTCACACCAATTTACCGTAATCCATTCGGTTCAAATATGACCTTATTTTATACCCAGAATCCCTCAGGGCCCAAATCAAAGTGTATTAGTGTGTCAGCAGGTTTTTTTTCCATTCCTAATAGACTCTTGCTGAAACATGTTGGCGTTCTCAAATATCCAGATTTTTGAATTATTATTTCTATAGCAGGAATTACTCAACAGTCTCCCAGAATAGAGACGGCTTTCAAGAAGAATTCACTTAAATTATTATTATTGTTTTCCTCTTTTGGAGATCTGTTAGCTACAAACTTACACATATTATATGTTTTAATTGAAACTTTATCAATCCGGGCAGTAACTTCACACTCTGATCATCAAACCGCTGAATGTTCTGTTGTTTGTTTGTGATCTTTTTTAATTACTGCGGCGGTTCACTTTGTCCTGACTCGTAGCCGCTGGAATAATTTGCCCACAATGTTGTGCAACGGAGGGGGTGGCCGGAGGGTCACCGAGCGGGTACGAGCACACGCAACATTGAAACCCAAGTGGGTGAGAACAGAACAGGCCGAAGTCATAATCCTGCGATTTGTCAATATTTACTCAGCAGGACAAATTAGCCTGAATGCATCGCTGCTCGACTTCACCGAGGTCTCTGTGGGCACGGCTGCACGTGTTGGGGGGGTCACACTCGCCCTTCATCTGTAATTGAATAGCGGTTAAGCCTTTCTTTTTTTTTTCTCGAGTGGGTGGTACGGTAAATGTTTGATTTGTGACTCAGCCTGATTTATCGGAGGCACACACTCCTCGGTGCTTCACTTGTTGTTTTGAGTGTGTCTGTGTTTGCTCTCAGACTTGGAGAGAAGCCCTGGTATTAACATTGAAAAGCCTGTTGATGTTCGTCTGAGGACAGGCTGGATAACATCTGATCACTCGCTGGTTTAGTAGAGACATGTACTGTAAACATTGAGTGTTTTCCCCCCGTAAGAAGGCAGACGTTACTCGATCACCTGTTGCTTTTACAATATTTCCTAACTACAACAATTCCTGTTTCTCCTTCTCATAAATGAAGTTCCTATAAGTCTTTAGTTTAAAGACTTTTCTTCTAATTGTTCCTGTGCTCCATCAGGTGGGGTCATTAACTGTATGATTATATGCACAGCACTTCTCCATCTCCTTCCGTCGTACAAAAGTGAGGTCAAAATCTCCCACAGTGAATGGCACTGACATATTGACCCGCTGACATAATTTGGAGCCAAGAAGGGAGCCGGCTGGCTTTTTTAACCCTGGAATGGACGGCACTTCTGCTAACTCTTGTGTTAGTGTTTATGTTTCCTCTCACCTGATCCTCCTCTACTCTGCTAATTCAGTTCAGACCGCTGCATGGAGCCTCACTTGTAACCACGGCTGTCAATCATGACATGACATCCTTTCTTTTTTGCAACAGATATCTCATTTAAAAAAAACTATCTAATGAATTTAAATGAACACATGGACAAACATCATCTTGATAAAAATCTGTCACAACAGAATCTGGGTTTGACAAAAATGTATTTGACGTGTATTTTAACTTTATAGTTTGACACATTTTTTTATTTTTTATTTATTTATTAGCACACATATAAGAATACATCAAAATAGGATTAACAAAAACATAAAAGGTGTGTCAGGAGAGGTCAAGAAGCCAACAGGCCTCACCTCTTAAGAGACAAATAAATCAACTAAGCAAATCGAATTACACAATTTCAAAACAAAATTAAATATAAACACATATACAGTAACCTATACACGTATTCATACACACACACTTAGACACATACAATAGAAAGACTGAGAATGTAACCCTCTATCAGCTAAATGAAACAGGCATTAATCTATTAAAAAGGGAGTGAATGTTAGTTGATGGAAAAAAAAAAGATATATATTTTATATGTGCAAAAGTTCGACCTCATGGATTAAATGTGACATGACACATGACACATCAGTCAACATGGAGGAGGCGGGGTTTATGACCTATACTGCAGCCAGTCAGCAGGGGGGAGCTTTTAATCTTTTGGCTTCAATCCTGGGCAGCTGTTGCGCCGTCCACCTTAACATAGAGTCTTTGGGTAACGCCTTAAACTCACTGTCGCCCCCCTCTGGTTCTGCAGGTGTTCTTCACCAGGAACGGGAAGCTGATGGGACGCAGAGAGATGGCTGTTCCTCCGGGTGGCCTCTACCCGACCGTGGGGATGCTGAGCAGCGGAGAGAAGGTCAAGGTGGACCTGCACCCGCTCAGTGGATGAGCTCGGAGCGCCGAGCGGACCCGTGACGCCCTGCAAAACAGCTGGCTGCTCTGTAGAGCTCTGCCCACGGTAGCCTAGCATGCTGCTAACACTCGCCACTCAGTTCAGCCGCACACATGCACGTCTTCCTCCGACACTGCCTCGGCTTTAATTTATAAGACTTTAACAGAAACACAAGCGGATCAGAGCGTCCTCCTGGCCGCAATGTAGCAGAGAAAAAAAGGATCCCTGCAGAGCGTCGGTTGCAGAAGGTTGTCTTGCAGATGCTACTTAAAGATTTAAAAAAAAAAAAAAAAAAACTTCTGGAGGATATTTAACGGTTAATTCTATGCAATGTGCACCGCTCTCATCCTCACTCCTAACCTCCCTGTGCATGCACTCTGAGCTGTTTAATCCCTCTCATGAGGTCTGGCACACTTTTGTTTATTTCATTTGTCACCACCCCAAGCAAAGCAGAGCGAGGCCAGGAGTTGTGCCGAGTCAGAGCTCGCTGGTGGTTTTTTGTTTCAGGGAATACACCCTCTCTCTCTCTCTCTCTCTCGCTCTCTCTCTCTCTCTCTCTCTCTGGGTGAGGCTGCCCTCCTGTGAGCGATCAGGGACCTGCTGTTGCCCCACCTCTCTCGCTGCTCTCCTGGAGTTCGCTGGAAGTGAACAGTGGGTCTGTTTTGTTTTTTCATAAAGGCATCCAGGCTCCAGTTTACTAAAGAGGATTCTTAACCTCTCGTGTATAAAATACTATCACTGAGAAGAATCAAACGGTGAACAGATTCCTGAGTGTTTTATAGTTTCCTGTTGGAGCCAGACTATAGATAAAAAACGCTTCAGGTATATTTTCTACAATCAAACAAAATAAACGTTCAAATGTATCTTGTTGGTCTAAAAGTTCAGGGAATGTGTTTTGTTTTTGCACTTTGAGAACTCGAGTGTCATGTGAAAGTGAGAGATAAACACATCAGATATATGTAGTATGCAGTCCAATAGAACCTCTACATCATGAGCCATTCAAAACAACCACAGATTTCAATATAAACCGGTAGAAGTAACACTTAACAGTGCAAACCTCACACAGAAGGATCGGTCGCAGAGACATTGATTTGGGTTGCGTTATACCACACATCAGTTTGACTGTTTAAATATTTTTGTTCTTCTTTAATGTCAAAGTTTTACACCCTGTGCATATCCCCCTCCTGGATATGAAGGATCATCTCCCATCCTAGTTTTCCTTTCTCCTCCAAAAAAAACTATATTTTGCAGGTAGTTTAAAAGATTCTTAAAAGCCACAAGACTTGAAAAAAAACTGAAATTAATATTCTGCTTTTATAATCAGAGGATGGTTTCCTCTCTGTGATGCCATATGTAATGTTGAAGTAACTGCTGGATGTTTTGTTTCTTTGATGATGTTCGGTTACAGTGTGAGATGCATGTTTAAAAAATATATAACTTCATTGATGAGTGTCTGCAGCGTCATCAGGGGTCTGTATCACAAAGACACATTAGTTTGTTCTTAGAGCGCACTCACACTCGGCCCAGTTTGTCCGGTACCGTGCTTAGCCTCCTCATTCCCCCCGCTGGCCTGCACTCACACTGCTCCAGGACTAACCGGGCCTCAGCACGGTTACCTCTTGTACATAAAATCTTAATACAACACATGCCATGGCTTTACGGTACGTGATCATTTAGTGCTAAATGCTCAGTTTACAAGACAGACGGTTTCCAAAAAAATAAAAAAGGGACACGAGGTTGAGTCAGCATCCGAGAACAACACAGAGAACATGACAGAAACTTTACTGACTTTGTGGCTTATTTTTAAGTCATTTTAGTCGGATACAGTCAGAACATTTCTCGATAAAGGAAGGCGGGGATCACTTTGTTTCCACGTTGTGTACCTGTGCTCGTGCATGAGCTGTACCTCTTCCATCAGTGCCAGGACCAAAGAAGTGTACTGTGCTTGAGCCTGGATCTGAGCACTCACACTAGTTATTAAACTAACTGGACTTTGAGGGTGAAGCGTGCAGAGGCATGGTACAGATTGCTTAGTGTGAGTGTGCCCTAAGTCCTTCTACTGGCTTGCCTCGGCCTGACACCTGGCCAATCAGATCACTGGGAATAAGAGCATCATTTAGGACTTAAATGACAGAAAAATGGTTGAGGAGTACGCTGGTTATAGAGATTGGAATACTGGTCATTTTAACCGCTTTTCATACTTTCCTTCAGATATTTTTTTAAGCCAAACAATCATGCGTTAGAGAGGAAAATAATCAGCAGATTAATTCATAATAAAATGTTAAATGACTGAAGTCGTGTATCTGATCTCAGTGAAACCTGGGGATCCAAACACAACAGACTAGTCTTTGTGATACAGTCTCCAGGAGCTCAAGCAATCTGCAGATGAATGAGAAATACTGTTTGTGTTATTGTGTCAGTGGGAGCTGGTTTCCACACAATATATTCTCTGAGTGATGATTTAGTTTCCTTTCTGTTTAAAGGGAGTGTCATCAATGTTATTAATTAAGCTGTTATCATCGTATCGGTTAGTTAACCTCCTACATTTGTATTTAAAAACATCCGCAGCCCTGATACATGAAGTCAACATTCCTCTGAACGTTCATATCAGCAGGTTTCTGTCGGACCATCGTTCACACACGAGGATCAAAGCATTCATGGTCGAAGAACAGGCTTAAAAAAACGACACAGGGTTAACTCTTAAATCACATATCTGCTGGAGACTGAATGTTCCTTTAAAGCTGTCGTCTTGCATTTTATTTAGGAGCCATTAATAATAACGCTGTTAGCCGGTCTACAGGACGTGTCAAATACGTTAATCAGTGTCGTTTATTTTCTTCTCCTGCAGGGCCGGGCCGAGGCTTAAACACAGGTCATTACAGCCTGACGTAAAAAAAAAAAAAAAAACTTAAAAGCTAGACAGAGCAAAGACGTTAACGAGACACTGATGTGGACGTTTGAGCCACGTCGAAGTTCAGGGTATTAAAGTCACTTATGTTCAAGGTAACTCAGACATTTACAAACGTTTCAGTTTACAAAAGAAAATCAGTTTTAACCTCATTAGAGCTAAATGTGGGTTAACTTTATTTTGTAGCATCTCTGAATTGACTCCTGTAATATTTTGCTCACCTCGTTGACTTGCACTATAATGGCCTTGTTCAGTCCATGTATGACCATCAATAAAAAGTCCAAGTAATGTAACAGAGTGGTGGATTCTTTTATTTCACATGGTCAGTTATTGTTGTTGCTCTGTTCTGTCTCTAACCCAACACAGTCTCAGCAGTCGGATGTCCAACGTGAGTCTGGTCCTGCTCGAGGTTTCGGCCTCTTCAGGTAAAAGTTTTTCCTCTCCACTCTAACTTTGCGAAAAGATGCTTTGTGCTCACAATGGATGAATGTTGAGTCTTTATAGATAACAAAGAGTAAGGTCTTTAACCTGCTGTTTTCACATCACATCTTTTAGTGTGACTAAGATGGAAATCTTGACTTAAAGGTCACTTATTACCCTCCTTTTCAACAAGTTTAAATACATCTGTGTCTTGCCAAATCCACTCTGATCCTGTATTTGATCATGTCTATAAACCCCTCTATTTCAGCCCTGCTCAGAACAGGCTGTTTCTGTGTCTGTAGCTTTAAATATGTAAATGAGCTGTGTCTGACCACGCCCCTCTCTGGAAGGGCTTGAGTGGCTCGGGCTTTCTCGCTCCATGTCCTATTGTTTACGGTGAGAAGGTAGACTCAGAGGGCAGAACAAACACCAGCTGTGGGAGTGTCACCCACCTGGGGAAGCTACTGCCCTTTGTGATGTCATTAAGGGAAAATCTCCAAACGGCCTGTTTGAGCACACATTTTCTGACAAGTGGAGCAGGCAGAAGACGGAGAGGATGGACTTTTCTCATGATTGGGGGGTTTGAAGACAGACTAGAGACACAGAGTTAGAAAAAGTGTAATAACTCAGCATAATGTGCCCTTTAAGAGGGAGCGTTCTGTAAAGGTCCATATTCTGGTTTCATATGCCTTCAGTGTGTTTTCCAAGTGTCCTGTGCATGTTTAGGAACATCTATTTGCAAAAATTCAAAGTCTGCGGAAACACGGCTTCTCCTACGTCCTCCTGTTAGCTGTAGCATTAGCCGCATGTAACGCTCGGTTCTAGCCCCCCTCCATAAAAATGTGTCAGTGCGATGTCACTGTCAGTGTGAGATCACTGATCTAAGCCCATTGGCTCGTTGTGACCTGCAGCTCATGTTGAAATTTCCGTAAGGCGTGCTGAGCAACTGACCAATAACGACAGAGCGGATCGGCAGACCAATCAGAGCAGACTTGGCCCACGTGGGGTCTAACAGTGTGGGCTCAACAGAGTGTAGCTGACAGACTCAGAGCGGAGAGGGAGCAAGGAGGAGCAGTACATGAAAACAGACACTTTTTTCAGACTTTATCTATTGTGAACGTACAAAAGTAGGAACATAGATTAAATATAGGAAACCCAAAAAGGGCAGAATATGGGCTCTTTAAATTGAGCAGAAAATCCACAGTGAAACAGGATTAGCCACTCAGACAATTTTTTTTTTGTATACAACAGTTTATTTAAACAGTAGCAATCTAGGATATTTGGTCCCATGGTTTAAAAACAACAGTACAACATTATTCAGATCCAGTTTAGAACTCTTGTAAAATGAAGTGTGACATATACATACAGAATGGCAGCTGTAAAGAAAAGTGACAGACAAAAACTAACCTAACCCATTATTATTATGATGACTGGAAAAAGTTCAAAGTGCTGGGCTTATTTTACATCAGAGAGGCCTTTTCACACGTCTTCTTTAATTTTCAGATTCTCCATTCAAGGCCATTCAGTGACAAGAGCTACACGAGCTGTTACGATGCCATCTTTTGGTTTACGATATCACCGCGGTTACGGCTTCTCAAAAGTGTCGGTTCAGATTAGGAGGCGTTCAATGACGATAGAAAATTACAAAAAAAAAAAAAAAACTGCTCCTCTGTGTGTTTTAAGCTAACAGGCTTTTTCTGTTCTAAAAAATATTGATCACAACATCAGGACATTATTTTAAATATTGTACATTTAAAAACAAGCTACACGTTCTCCAACGATCCTGTAAAAACGATCCTGTAGGAATGGCGTCGAAGGTTTTAAAAAAGTGTTGAAAGAGGCACAAATAGAGTCCAGACGAGTCGCGGCAGCAACTCTTTTTTAAAGAAGAGAAGAAGAAAACATCTAAAAAAGAAAAGAAGGAATGGCGTGAAGTCGTCTAAATAGTCCATGGCAGGCGGCTGTTGTTTTACGTTTTAGTCAGTTCATACTTCCTCATCCTCCTCCTCGTCATCCTCCTCATAGTATCGGTTCCGTTTGATCATCTCCTCCACCGTCAGCACCTCCTGCTGCTCCTCCTCTTTGTCCTCCACCTCCTCGCTGTCCCAGAAGCCAACGTCCTGAGAGGATCGACTCGCCTCCACCTCCACTTCAGGAGAGGAGATGTCTGTGGGCGTCTCCTGACCTTTCAGAGGAGCCATCTCTTCCTCCAGGTCGCCACCGTCTTCCTCCATCTCCTCCTCCTCCACCTGCTGCTCATCAGGACTCACTTCACTCTTCATCTCGCCCTCCTCCTGCTCCTCGTCTCCTGAGCTGGCGAGCACGTCGGCGCACTCGTCCTCGGTCGGGGTCTGGCTGTCGGAGGACTGGTGCTGCAGCTCCATGGAGGTCGGTTCAGGACTGAGCTGACGGGGGTCCTCAGGAGGGGGCGGGCTCGGTTTCCTGGCCTCGGCGGCAGGAGCGGCCTGTCCCGCCATCGTGAAGGGCTTACTGCGCTCCTTCAGGGAGGAGGTGCGGCGCAGGCAGGGGGGCTCTGAGGGGGAGGAGGGGGACTCGTCCTCCGGGGGCCACTTCGGGCGGACGGTTTTGGTAGCAGAGCCCCCCCCGTCTGCGGACTTGGGCGCCTCGTCCTGCTCCGCTCGAGGAGGCCAGGAGATCTTGAGCCTGCGGGCCTCAGGAGGTCTCTCGCTCTTCTCCGCTGACCCCTGACCCAGAGCCTCCATCGTGGCCATCAGCACGTTGACTTTGGCGAGCGGAGAGTCCTCCACGCTCGGGCTCTCCAGGTCCGACACGGGGGTCTTCACCTTGGTCTGGGGGTTGGACTGAGGGGAGGTCTCCACGCCGTCCCCCTTGCTCTCCCACAGCTCTTTGTGGGGCCGGTGTCCGAAGCCCTCGTCGTAGTTTCCTTTGGCCTTGAAGAGCTGGCAGAAGTGCGGTTTACAGTACACGTTGTTGTGCAGAGAGGCGTAGTTCACCAAACTGAGAATAAAAGAGAGAGACTCAAATCAGAACAGCTGTGATAACACAACATACATCTTATTATCTACTTTAAAGTTCTCATGTTTCTGATTTTTTATTTTTTCAATTATTTGGTGGTTAGTGTTTGCAAACTTTTTATTTATTTTGACAGCCTTTACAGGTGTATATCATCCAATAAATTCATACATCCATTTCATTGTCATAATAATGCAAATAAAGAAAAATAAAAAAGAAGAGGATGATAACACAACCCTGCAAACCTGGAGTTTTCAGTTATTTGAGTTCTAAACCGGTGGAAACTATAGAAAACAAAAGACTGGACTGGAACTCTGCGTCTGCACTCCTTTATCTAACAGACAAACCACTGAGTTGGAATTATTCCTGCAACAGAATCGTACTCCTAACACTCTTCAAAGGGAAACTTGTGTACACAGACTGATTCCCATTTTAAACCGTAGCTGCTTTTTCAGCTGCTAAGGTGCTGAATCACCTGTTGCTTTGAGGTCGAGTGGCTCCACAGGAGTGTTGTTTGTGAAAAGTGACACTAGAGGGCAGCACTGAGTCGAGATCCATTGGGGGAAAATGGCAACTAAAAGGAGCTTTGTTTTTTTTTTTAATTTTAAGTCTGAAAATCTGGTCTGTGTGACTTGTGAGAGAGCAGATGTTTGTGTAGGATGAGAAACACTGAGAATCTAAAACTTCAGCATCACGGCTCAGACGAGCTCACTGATTTGAAGTTTGAGTGTTTTCATTTAAAGAAGTCTACGACTTCTCTGAGGATCATCGTGGTAATGTTGCATTTTTTCCTGAAGATTTATTTTTGGCCTTTTCATGCCGTTACTGGAGAGACAGGAAAGTGGACAGAGTCAGAACTCACAGAGAGAGAGTGAACCACAGGCAAGACCCTGAACCCTGCACCAACTTCAAGGACCACAGCATCTTCACATACCCACCATCAGCCCCCCAGCATGTTGCAGCTTTTATAGCTGTCAAGAGCATTGCTAGGGTGCTTGATTAATGAAATTAGCATGATATTATTTTCCAAAGATATTCTGTGTTGAGATATTAGAGCTCAGTCGGTGTGAAATGTTTTTTTGACTTTGGATGAATTTACGTGTCCTGCTGTGTTCTCAGTGAACAAAATATGTGAACAATAAGTGCTTGAAAAAATAAAACCACAATCCTTCCCCAGAGTTCTTTAAGCAGTCATCATCATGTGTGTGCGGTCCTCACCTCAGTTTGTTGTTGCAGTGCGAGCAGCGGAAACAGGAGGAGTGGTAAACGTGCTGATTGGCCACCAGCCTCTCCAGAGGATAAACCGTTTTCTGACAGGACACGCACGTCTCCCTCGCCGGCGGACGGAAGCTCTGAACACAAACACAGAAAATTTAATTAATTTAAACTTTTCAGACGAATGTGTGTCTTTGTGGTACGTGAAGGGGTTTCAGGTGAGGACTCACTTTGGGGGTCGTCTTGGCCTGAGAGGAGTCCCTCTGATTGGACGATGTAGGGGTGCCCGAAGCAGAGCCTGTTGAAGCACAAAAAGAGGAGTGTGAGAAAACTGTAGTGACGACTTCTGACCACTAGATGGAGGTAAATGCTCAGAGTCCAGACTGAAAGTTTGAGAGGAAGTGAACATGACTTCCTGCTTTAAGAGAGGAAAAGTCAAACCATGTAAAATGAACTTTATGTCGAGGATACATGATTACAAATACACATGCATGTAGATTTCTGCATTTCTGAAGTATCTCATTGGCTGCTCTCTCCGTCCATCATTTTCTATTTTAAATGACTTGACTTCCTCGTTCATTCAACTTGCAAAGTTCTAGTTAAACAAAGTTTTTTGAAGAAATCTTCTGGAGTCAAAATAAGATTGAAGAAACTTACCGTTGCTCTCTGCTGTGAAAACTTTCCTGCTGTTTGGTTCTGAATCCAGACTCTGGAATAAGAAAACCAGGATGTAAGAGAACATGAAACGGTCCTGATTTCTTTTTATTTCTTATAAATCACAAAATGTCAAAAAGGCGTGACTGTGACGGCTTTGGAAATTATCCATGCGTCAAAGTTATCCATCACTTAAATATCATAAACTTTCACTGCCTTCAGATTTGAATCATTTAACATCCTCACCAGGTCCAGAGAGCACGGAGGAACATTCTCCTTCTGCTTCCCGCAGAATCCGTCCAGCTGATCGTTCTGAGAGGCCGAAAAAAAAGAGACAAGGTCAGTGATAAAACACCAAAACACTTCTCCATAAATGACCTTCACCTTCTTTCACTGCTCATTCTTTGGCTGTCTTAGCTGCAGGTTTTTTTGCCTCTTTGTCATCTCCAGTCCAGAGTCAGTTTGAGTGATCTGATTTGACTACAGGGCAACAAAGTCTGCTCGCATTTATAGGAACAAGACTGAGAAGTGGTGTGTTTAATGTCCCAGAAACCTCAGGAAACACAGGGACCAACAGGTCAGGGGGAGAAGTCAAATATCAGGAATCCAAAGTATCAACTTCAACTGTTTGGAGGTGAGAAACCAAAATGGCCGAGGACTCACAAGCAACAGATTAAAAAACAGGATCTATTCCTGCCTCCACAGTTTGACTCTCTGACTGACTTATCAGATTTTTTTAGTCCCCTTGTTCCTCGGGGATTCTTAATTCCTGTGATGCAACTCAATAATGTGATTTGTTAAACCTCCTCCCCGCCTGATAAAAGAGCACACGGGGAAAAAAAAACTACAGCTTGAGTTTGTAATGCAGGATCACGGATCAGACTTTAGATACATTCTCCTTCTTCTCTTGGTTCAACCTCAAAAACTCTGAATCATTTCAAGTCTCAAAAGCCACTTTGAAACAAAAATACATTACAGATACGTAATGAAGTCACAGAGTTATGTCGGTCAAAGTGGATTTAGCTGCTCAAGTCTTAACTTTAAACGTTTCTCACAGCACGCTCCGATATCAGCCTAAATCAAGTCTCATCTTTCACCTGTGCAACACAAACATTTTCCATAAGATCATGCTTTTATTTTGAAATGTTTTGGGGTCTAGCTGACTGCTTCCTTAGTGTTTTCAAGTCTTGTACCTGATTCCCCTTTAGACCTGTATCAGCTTGTGAGCTCAGGTCCTTACAGGAGACACCAGGACACACCTACTGCCTGTGAAACATCCTCATTTAGACCTCTACAGGGTCAGGTTGAGGTATGTAAGGTGAGGATTCCTTTAAGGTTCATTGTTTAACGGGAGCCAAATGATCTAACCAGCCACAGATCAGCTGAGCTCACATTAGAGGCAGCTAACGCTAAGCTAAGCTAAAGGCGCTGTCCCTCCTGAAGCCAAAGAGTCAAGAGGAAAGAGTTTTTAAAAGTTATGTTGTTGATATTTAAACTCTACTTCCAAACAAATACACCCCCTCAAGCTCCGCCCACTCAGAGTCATGGCCGCACATTTCCAGGGAAAAGGACTCTCTAACGAGTCTGTAAAAATAGCAGCACGGTGAAATCCGGATCACCTGCTGAGGAAGGATGAGTCAGCCTCAATCAGGGAGGCTCGTTTTTAATCATTCATGATTAACTTTGAGTTCCTCTCGACATGAAGGAGGGAGGAGAAGTCGGCCGAGGTAGAGGTCGGGGGGGGCCGTGCGTGACCGGCTGCTGATTGGCTCGAGTGATGCTAACCACGCTTATTGGAGGTTTCCTTTATGCAGAAATACAGCGCTGAGTACTGATCTTAAACACTCAAGGCAGATCGGTAAACTCAACCTTCACCCTAACCAAGAAAATACAAAAAGTTACATCAGGTAAAAAAATGTTTTAAAAAGCTAAAAACATGAATTTAGAGGAAACGCTGGTTCAAATACGGCAAACCTAATCCACTCGTGTTTCTTGGGGATTTACTACATGTTTGTTTAAAGTCAGATTTTAACTCTACTAGACGTCCAGAGCATTTTTCATCAGGTTACAACTGGACTTCTGCAGTAAAGATTTGTTTCAGAGGATGATTGACAGGTTCACTCACATTGACGGCGGTGGGAGTGACATCCTGTTTGGAGATGGCGGCCTGGTAGAGAGCCATCCTGTCCCGGAGAGGAGTGGACTCGGCAAGACTTCCATCTGGTTTCCACAGAGACACACAAAGCAGAGAAGATGAGAGGGAAGTCCACCATGCATCAAACTGTTACAGCTAAACCTCCATCACAGATCATCACTCAGTAGTTTGTTCTGTCAAGCTGTCACATTTTGTTTTCTGTTTTTTGCAAATTTGTTTCAGCTGGTAAAAAAAATCTGGTTTACTGTTTTTGGAAAAAGTTTGGAGGAATCTCCTTTACGAGGCAAGTATTCCTGATGGCAACTTCTCCCCCCCCCCACCCACCCACCCACCAAATCTTCCCGGTTCATGTCGAGTGCAGAATGTGCCGGTTAGTCAAGCAGGCTGAGGAACAGGAACGCGAGGTCAGGGAGTCGTGTGCAGTGTTGGAGGGAAAACAAGCGTTTGTCTCTTCCTGTCTGCTGATCACAGCGGCTCGGCGGCCGCCTGCGTCCTCACCGCTCGGAGACTTCACTTCTGGGAAGGATGTAATCCATCCCCAGGAAGAGGCCACGGCATGTCTGCAGCCGATTGAAACGTCCCGGAGAACAATAGTGACAAGAACAACACCTGCTCTTTTGACTTGTTTAAAGAAGCTGAAGATCAAATATCTCAAAAGATTCAAAGGATTTATGAACTTATTGGAGAAAGCTAAAATTAAGTGTTAAGATTCACATTTCTCCTCCTCAACTTTGCTCTTCATTATTCCAGAAAGATCTGAAAGAGGAACCCGAGATACATTAAGACAATGTGGGAACATATTTGATTCTTAATCATCAAATGCTGATTTAATTAAAACAGCTTGAGAGTAACTTTTTACATTGTCGTCGTAAATTAGAATCTAAAATCTGTCCGACTTTAAGGGTAAAAACTGATTCTGTAAAACCTGGTCCTCCTTCACTCGTTCACACATTATCATACGTTGCTGACATCAATTTAAGCAACACATGCTAACAGTGAAAGCCGACATCTTCCAATCCAGTCGTCGTGCCGACAGGTTGGTGAGCGTCTGCAGCCTTTCATCGATACCTCATGTTACTCCTCATGTTTTCAGTCAGCTGTAATAGTAAATGTTTCCTCCTCTCACTTATAGCTGCCATGGTAACCGTTTGATGCTTGAGTTTTGTTGCTAGCTTGCCGTTAAAGTGAAGGTGGAGACGAACCGAGCTGAAACAGTTTGTAGCACTACATGGACCGACGGCTCTTTGCAGTCGTGCCGAGCGTCTGATAAGAACGCTCGCTTCTTTATTTACTGTTCACTGAACTCTGAAGGGAAGAAACTCATCAGAAAACATTTATAAGATACTTCTGCCTGAGCGAGTCCCGTCATCACAGATGGTGATATACTGTCAAACGTTTCAATGCAGGCAAATAACCCCCGGTTATTAATACGCCCCCCGGTGGTGGAATGAACTTCCAAACTCCATACGATCTGCAGAGTCCCTCTGCACCTTTAAGAAAAAGCTAAAGACCCAGCTCTTTCATGAATACCTACTAACTTAATGATGATGGTCTCCATATTATTGATGATGATGATGGTAATGACGATGGTTTTTGTTTGATAACGACGACTTATAAGATGGTTTCTATACTGATTAGAGCTCTCAAGAACTGCCCTCAATGTTGTGCTTTGCCTCTGGTCACTTCCTGTCAGCACCTGTGTGTCCAATCAGACTCAAAGCTGATCGTTTGCTCTTACTCACATTGTTCCCTTTTTTCTAGATCCTTGCTTGTGTTGTTCTTACTCTCTGATGTACGTCGCTTTGGAGAAAAGAGTCTGCTAAGTGAATTGTAAATAAGGCACGAGGTGTCCTTGGCTGGACCTTATTTGTACTAAATTTTCTCGCTTTTTGTGCCTTTGTTGGAGAGACAAGAGAGTGGATAGAGTCAGAACGTCTCTTAATAGCTGTATCTGATCCTGGTGTGAGTTCACCTGAGGAGGTTTTTAATGACTTCTGTTCCACACCGTTCTTCACTTTCCCTCCACTGAATAAAAAGGCAACAACATGGAACAAATAGAAAGAAATACTGACCTCCTAGTAGCTGGTCCATGTTGGAAGGAGTTCCACTGCTTCCTCTATTGATCTGCTCTCTGGACACCTGGAGAGAGAAAAAACACACACACAGTCAGAGGTGAAGACACAAACACACACACACAACAGACACACAGAAACAGATGTCAAAAGGACGTGAAACCAACCAGCTTGGACGTGACCTCAATGACAGCACACACACACACACACACACACACACACACACAGCCATCTGATGCTCACATGTGTCAGCTGGTGGAGCCAAAAGATTGGAAGCAACAGTGTCCATCAGGAAGATCAAAGTATGGCGAGAAACACAAAGACGAGAGCGATATCAGAGAGGTAAAGAGCTGTGTGTGTGTGTGTGTGTGTGTGTGTCGGTCCAGCCAACGCCACTTTAATCCCCTTATGAGCTCAGAGAGACGTAGCATCAGACGGACAACCTGTCTGTCCACAGCCGCCAGAGAAAACACAACTAATCTTTTTTTTTTTTTTTTCCAGGGTTTTAAGTTCAGATTTTATTTTTAGCTAATTGAAAACTTTCAAAAATATGAGCTTTGAATCAGGATCTCTTTTAAAAATCTTCCTTTAAGGACTTTGTGTGTGTAACAGGTCGTGTATCTCACAGTCTCTTAGTAAAAACGTCTTTGCTGTCATCAAATCTCTAAAAGAAAAAAACAGCTTCACACTCAAATCCATTTTGTTGATTTGACATTAACCGACAAGTCTAAACTCTCCTGAGGCAGTAAAAACTCACAACAAGCTGCTGCCTCAAACGTGAGGACGAGCACGGCTCCCCTCACATCGATTCAATCTACAGATTACACAACAGGTCACATCTCGACTGTGAGACATTTCTTTGGAGCTTCACCTGAAGCTGCGCGCGGAGCCTCTGCAAGCTTCAGCAGGAAAAAAAGATGGAAGCGATTTCACAAGAAACAAAAACAAACAAGGAGCGTACTTCAGACAAGTGGGTGCTCATCAGACGATGCTGACTCAGAGTCCTTCTCGTTAAAAGGCTCAAACACGTCATCACGCTGCAGCGCTGTGTTGTTAGGGACGGACAGTTTTAACGTCTGTGGATATTCCACATCGTTCTTTTTGTCAACAAAAACCATGAAGAACCTTTAAAGCCCTTTAAAGAGCTCACTGACTGAACAAAAACATGCTACTTCATGAGGCACAGGAAGCTGTGGTCCTCCAGGCGGGCGGCCCGGGTTCGATTCCAGCCTGTTTCTCCTTCCCCGCATGTTTTTCCCCACTCTCTCTCTCTAATTTCAAACTGTCCACTGTCCTATCTCTCCAATAAAAAATGCACAAAAATGACTTCTTCATTAACAGAAATGTGCAGATCAAATAGCTACAAAAATGCTCTCTGGGGCACCTGTAGCCTAGTGGTTACATTTCACACCCCATGTACAGAGGCTGTAGTCCTCATCTAAAGCAGCCGTGGGTTCGTATCCGACCTCTGCCCTTTGCTGCATGTCACCCCTCCCCCCGCTCTCTCCTCCCAACACTTCCTGTCTCTCTTCAGCTGTTTTTCCAATAAAGTGGGTTATAAATAATTCTTAAAAAACGAAGTTGAAGAACATTGTGATTTATTTTAAAAAAAGGGATTAAGACATTATTACATATTTAATGACGTCTTCAGAAGGAGTCATGGAATCAGGGCTGATGGAGGCAGAGTCACAATATCAGCATGTTAACACAGGTCAGTGTAAGTAACGTAAAACTGCCACAGAAAGTGTAGAGCGTTTGCTAAATGTAAACGGAGAAGTTAATGATTTCAGTTTCAAACCGATTAAAATAATCCACCCCACAGATTGTTGCACTTACTGTGCATGGGGGTGGAATCATCAAATAGCTGAGTGTCATCTGATCCTTCAATATGAAAATATTGATTAAAAGGAACCGTAAACCAAATGATTTTTTATATGTTAAAACCCCGAGCTAAACATTCTCCCTTTAAGGTGGAGTCCAACTATCAGAGATGATGATGTCATGTGAGGGTCAATCTTCAAATCTGACAGTCTGAGTCAGCGTGCAATCATAAATAATAAATATCAAATAAGATGGCACACACACCCACTGTGAGTCCAAACTGTGCGCAGGAACACACATGAATGAGAGTCTTCTTCAGCTCGTGTCTGGCTTCATAGAGACAAAAGAAACCAGCACCATCATAATGACGCTTTTATCCCCCTGGGTGGATTATCTTCCAGAGACCGAGGGTGCAGCTTTTGAAGAGGAGGGGGTGTCTGAGTCTGGTTTTTTAACATGTATGTGTGTGTGTGTGTCTGTACATGAGGAGAGAGAGAGGGAGGGAGGGGGTAAACATGCAGGGGGATGTAAACAAGCAGCCGGTCCAAACGAGGTCTCAGGAAGCTGGATCAGACAAAGAATCTGCTGCTAATCCTGATACTATTATAGCTCTCTTTGAGACAGACGCCAGGCTGACTTGTGCATCTCCCCCACGTTGACTCCACCCATGTCCCTGAACACACCTCACGCACATGCAAACACACAGTTTACAAAACATGATAACCCCCCCCCCCCAAAACAAAGAAAAGACAGGGAATATATCTAACAGGTCGAGTTAATAGCATGATAAAGACGCTGCTGCTCAAAGTGAGCCGGCAAAGTTGAAAGGAGCTTCTGATAAAGTTAGCCTGTGAAGCGGCCTTTGAGAAGCTGTTTTTATTATTACAGCCGGGTCGTCTGAAAGGCCTCTTTCAGCCGCTCCGACAGAGAAGTCAGAAACATGGAATCACACTGAGAAAGTAAAAGTAGACCCGTCTGTGTGAGGGCGATGAAACCACCGCCTGTTCAGAGGCTAAACAAAGAAAAGCAAGAGAAACCAACATGAATGAAGCGCCACAGTTACCTCTTGTGCAGGAAAAAAAGGGGACAAAAAAAGCCACAGGGGGAACGGAAGAGTGAGCAGAAAGAAGGAGGTGAAGGAAGTCCGGGGAGAGCGAGTGAATGAATCCAGCAGAGGAGAGCGCTTCAGACGGATCTGGCTTCTGAGCGGGGGAGACGAGGGAGAGCCTCTGGAGAGGGTTTAAGGGAGGAGGAGGAGGAACACAGGCGACAGGGAGCAGGTGTTCAAAAAAAAGGGGGTGCGGCCGGAAGAAGGTGGGGATGACGGCAGGAGGAGGGGGGAGGCAAAGTGTGCCATGGTGTGACCCCCCCCCTCCCCTCCCCTCCCTTCTCTTCATGTATCCATCTGTGCGTGTGCAGTTTGTTTTGTTCTTTTTTACGGTGTCACGCTCCACACAGCTTCAGAATAAAGCGGCGGGGGCGTACAGGGTGGGACAGGAGGGGAGGGGTGCAGCAGCTGGTGTACGGGTGGAGGGTGGGGTAGGGGGGAGTTAAGGAGGAAAGAGGGAGAGATGGGGGGGGGGTCAGTAAAGATTTGGCTGTGCAGGGCTGGGGGTGTGTTACGTGTGTTGGAGGGAGGGGTTTGCCGGGAAAGGATGTCAGGGGGGTAAATTCATTTCAGCGCTTGATGACTTCATGCTTTGCCCAGCCCTGAGAGGGGGGCTTAATTGAGGGGGGGGGGCTATGGGCAGACATACAATAAATAGACTGAAACTAAAGACTATTTAAACAGAAAATGTCCATAGTGTTCTAGGTTAATAAATGTATTGAAGAAATCTTAAAAACCTCCAGGTTTCTAAAAGTCAAAGCGGATTTTTTTTTGGTACAAAATCCAAGATTTAATTTAATCTTAAAAAGAAGAAATTCTCCTTATCGCAAACAAAAACGTATTCTCTCATTTCTGCCTGAAACATACCCAGACAATTAAAAGAAGTCATTCATTTTCTGTTGAATTAACTCCTTGCTGCTGCTCCAGTTTGCAGCTGTGTTACAGTAGCAACCCTTTGAGAACGTACTCGGGGCACAGCTGCACTAAATAATAGAAGAGAGGAGAGATCTCCAGATTTCAAACAGTTTTAGTTTTCACCAGTCAACCTATGTTCAAACCCTCACTCATGCTCATGAGCTGTGGGTTGTTATTTGGTAGTGATCAGGTAGCTGAAATGAGTTTCCTCTAAAGGCTGGCTGGGCTCCGTCTTCAGAGATGAGGGTGAGGGGCTCAGACATCTGGAGGGAGCTCTGAGGAGAGCTGCTACTACTTGGCGTTGAAAAGAGCAAGTTGAGGTGGTTCAGGCTTCTGATTAGGATACATCATGGTCGCCAGGACCCCGGGTAGACCTAGAACACGCTGGAGTCCACAGCCAAAGATTTCCCCGAGTATCACACATGGGTTTTCATGGTCTTGTTCAGATGGAGTCAGAAGATAACCAAAGCAAAACAACCATTTTGAGACATTTCAGTCTGACCCCATGTTGTGGACGGACTTAAAGTCTTTGTGTGATTTTTCACACTTAAATGTAGAAATCAAGTATCTCCTCTGAAAATAACTCTGTGAGCCATGACTGTCTACAATGGGTGTAACACCCGAGTCCCACTGTCTGTGATGTTTTCAGAGTTTTCAGAGCCCTATCTTCACTTTGTTTACATCGCCTGGACGGCCGGCTGACTCCTCCCCTCGCGTATAAAAGTTGTTTAATTGAGGGACTAGAGAAAAGAAGAATAACATACTGTACTCACTGCTTAACTGTGTTTCTAGATCACGCTCATTTCAGGTAAATTTACTGCAGTGTGAAGATACCAGCATAATAAAGATCGCTAGCATTAGCATGCTAACACAACAATGCAGCGTGAGATGTTTTGGTTTCATGCTGGTGTATATAAAGCCTTTAAACACTGACTATGCTGTCCCCTTGAGATACACCGCTAGCAAGGCTTACACAAAGTGGAGGTTGAGGTCTTTGGAGATATGCAGAAGAATGAGGAGGAGGAGGAGGAGGAGGGAGTGCTGAGAGGAAACAGGAAAAAGATGGACTGAGAGCTGAGGAGCGGAGAAGAAGTGGACAACAGGGCTGATTGATGAGGTGGGAGGGGAGGCCGGGGGGCTTTGATGGCTTTAGGGGGAGACAGTCTGAAGAGGCTCTAAGTGCAGATCAGCTGTCTGCAGTCATGAGCCCGCCAGCCAGCCTGCACCGTGACATCATTCCCGCTCTGTGCAGCTCAACAAAGAGAAGCAGAGGGACCCCCGGCCCTCTGAACATACAGAGGACCCTATTGTACAAAACCACTCAACTCTGCGTCTACTGTACAGATCCTGTATTACTCCTCAAGGATTTCACTACACAATTTGTCCTTTCCACTTTTGGTAAGATAAAATGTGCAACACGATAATTAGACTCATAATGAAAAAATCCCCTTACCCCTCCCTGATTGAACTTCTCCAAGGCTCACAGGAGGTCAGAGCAGCAGAGAAACTGAGTCTTTGTTGGATTTGGTTTTTTTTGACAGCAGGTCAATTTTTTCAGAAATGAACGTGATACAATCTCAATAAATGCTTTCCCAGGTTCAGAGGATAAGTCTGGGTTTTCTGCATTTTTCTTATTATAAACAAATATGACCATTTACAAAGTGTATCAGTTATCTAAACCCCAATATATCTCATGTTTCTGTAACACTAATATGTGTCCCTCTTCCGTCTACAAATATGAGAAAAGTCCATCCTCTCCATCTTCTGCCTGCTCCCCTTTTCAGAAACTGTGTGCTCAAACAGGCTGTTTGGAGATTTTCCCTTCCTGACATCACAAAGGGCAGTAGCCCCTCCCCCAGGTGGGTGACACTCCCACAGCTAGGTGTTTGTTCTGCCCTCTGAGTCTGCCTTCTCACCGTAAACAATAGGACATGGAGTGAGAAAGCTGGAACCACACCCATTTCCAGAGAGGGGGTGTGGTCAGACACAGCTCATTTACATATTTAAAGGTACAGACACAGAAACAGCCTGTTCTGAGCAGGGCTGAAATAGAGGGGTTTATAGACATGATCAAATACAGGATCAGAGTGGATTTAGAACAAGAAACTTCACACACATGTTTTAAGGAGCTCTGAGAATTATTTAAACTGGTTGAGGAGGAGATGATGTGACCTTTAAGAAATTGATGCATCTTTGTAAAAATCTTGGGGGACAAAAACACTCAAATCTGACATCTTCAGTACTAAAAACTGTCTTTAGGACTCAAAGAAATTAAAAGTTTCTGCTCTTGCAAAAGACTTGTTGATAGTCAGAAAGCTGAAGAATAACATCATCCTTATCTAAAAAAAACAAATAACTTGAGGGGAAATGTTCGAGCCTGTTCATCTCACAGACTTGACAAGAGGACAAAAAAACATGTTGTAGCTCATAAGATAAAAACATGTAAAGTAATGGATGAGCAGAAAGTATTCAAGGAGTGGCTCGCCTCGGGAGCTGGCTCTGAACGAGTAGAGTGGAGCTGTTATCTGCTCACTAAACTTCTCTAATGAGCCTCCTGCTGTCTGTTGCTCGCAGCGTTTAGGTCAGGCAGAATCTCAGAAGCAGGATGAAGAGAGTCCAGAGGGTTTACTTTTACTTCTCTCTTGTCTTTACCCTCCTTAGGGGAGTACAATTAGAAGAATATCTGACTGAAAAGTGCAAGTTCAAGCCGCTTAGGGGAAGCTGAAAACAACATTTACAACTGTTAAAGATCATATGGAAAACTTGTTAGCACACACTTGCTGAGAAATCATTCTAATCGACTTAAGTTTCTGCTTATGAAAGAAGAAAGGACGAGAGGTAAACTCACAGTCTTACTCGCAAACATACAGTTATAGGCAACGTTTATATACTAGACCTGCATCAGGAAAGCTCAAGTGAAGGTCTAGTAACAAAACGCTGCCAATTAATGCATGTTAATGTTTACCTTAACTTTTTGATGGATGCAAAGGATCTTTAAATCGAATCACAACAACAATAGCTGAGTGTTGATCCCAATCACCCAATCATCAAGAAGCTTTTTAATGGAACTGTCTGAGTGGTGATGAGAGTTGTGATTAAAGTGAATGAACAGTGAACGAACAGTGAACTTTCACACACACACACAAAAAAAGATCTGACTGCTCGAGCCTCAAAAAAATCTTTGAGAGTGAAGAAAGGAAACCTTCAAATCAAGTTGTGGGAAAACCTAATGAATTAACTTCATGCCATAAAAATCACAACAACGTGTCTTCTTGTGAGGTTTGGTCACAACTAATGAGCCGTTTCAGATCGAAGCAGTCTTGTGATCATCCATTGTTAATACAAATAAAGTGACAACTGCAGTTATTCACAGTTTGAAGCAGCTAAAGCTTGAAAGAGACCGATTTGAAATAGGACTTAGTCATGCTGACTCAAATGCGTTTTGCATGTTGTCGATCGATCTAAACCCGCTGAATAATGAAAGATCAGCCCGATACTTGAAGCCTCAGAAAATAGCTTGTAATGTTCTCTTCCTGTCATAAATGACACGCTGTGTTGTGGAGAAACACAGCGTGCCCGTTGTTAACGTGCCACACCTCGAGTGTGAGCGCTTTACATTTTACACGCCTCGAGGGGGATGCATGACGTTAAAAGGACTCGACTTTTATAACCCAACAAAAAACAATTAGCTGCCTGCAGGAGCGTTAAACACGGGCTCGAGTTACTGATGCCTTTAGAGAGGATGTGCAAGTCAGCTGAGTGTGTGTGTGTGTGTGTGTGTGTGTGTGTGTGTGTGGAGGTGAAGGACGGTGAAGTGAAGCTGCACCATGTGATTCGCAGCATGCCAGCACTGCAGGGTTCTGACCTCTCGGAGAAGAAGCCGACGTGTTTTTTTAAACTGAAAACTGAAACTAATTGTGATCTTGTTCTGTTTCAGACTCTTCAGACTGTTAACTCACACCTCGTTAACTTCAGGCTCTCTGGTGCGAGTTGGAGGAGCTGAGGTCGGGCACGTTGAAAGAAAAAACAAATGCCTGATCAGTCCCAATAAAAGCATTTGATCCTGTTTAATGAACATTGGACAAAGAAAAGTTCTCCTTTGAATGTTTATCAGCAGTAGTGTGGTTTAATATGAAGATGTAATATGTTAAATGTTTACACTGAAATATCTAATTTAATAAAAAACTGGACTAAACCTATGTTTTACTTTTTCTTTGTTGAGTACTTACATTACCTCAAATATTTCCAACAGTGATTAAAGCCAGAGAAATCCTTCATTTTAGAGTTTTAATGGGGTGTTGTGTCACGGTGGCCGCCATGACAGACAACATGTTTATTGTTGCTGTGAAAACAAATGTACTTATTGCAACAATTCCGAACGTTGCAATGTGTTTTTTTGCAAAATGCTCATACTGCAATAATGATGACATGGCGTTTTTTTGTGTGCAGCCCTACAGGCGTTGAAATTCCTGCTGTGAGGTGAAAGTAAACTCCAGGAAACATCCGGACCTGGAGGCCAGGAAAATAATCTACAAACTGTCGATACTTCATGTGTGGAAGAAGCTCAAGAGTTGAGGACAAAACCACAAAGTCAGAGTGTACAATCCTCTCTCTGAAGGCAAGAGACTCACCTTGTCAGTCAGGTTCTCTCCCTTCTCAAACATCATCTTGAGGCTGTTCAGAGGAACGCTGGGCTTCTCTGAGTCGGGTACTTCAGCAGCCGCCGCTCCCTCCTGCTCCTCTGGATCTCTGCTGGGCTTCTCCTCCATGTCGCTCAGGTCCTCAAGCCGATCCGTCTGCAGCTGGTTGGAGCTGGTCTGAGAATGAGCGTGTGTCTCCTGCTCAGGGTCCTGGTCTTTAGAGAGTGTGTCAGGATGGTTCTGGGTGTGTGATGGCGGTGTAGCTTTAGGACCCGTTGATTGAGTGATGTTGGTGTGAGGTGAGGCTGGGCTGCTGGGGAAAGATTTAGGTGGAGCTCTGAGTTGTTGTTGTTCCCAACGTTTCTTTAAAACACTCAGGTTCCCGCTGCGCAGCGAGGTGGGTAGAGGCTCCGCAACCTGCCAAGAAAAAAAAAATACAGAAATCAGCCGTTATAAACATTTTGTTAAATCTGGGGTACAACATGAACTTTAACCCCTGGGTGACAGGGATGGTTAAAAAAAAAAAAAAAAAATAATCTAGCATCATTTTCAGTTTCAGCAATTAATCTGAAGTCAACGATCGGCAATGAATTTACATTTTTGCAAGACGAAGATAACTTGTAATAAATATTTATATTCAAACAGATGTCAGAAACTAGACCACGACCGATTTAATCCAGCCAATAACGGCCGATATTAGCATATCCAGTGACTATCAGCTTGGGCTAATTTTAATCACAGATATTACTAGATTTATCATCAGTCAAATAGCATTTCATCTGAGTTTCATTATATCACACTAGCAGTTCTCTTTCATCATCAGAGGGCGCTAGAGTGATCATCATGTATTCATTATATATCTTTTCCACAAGTGTTTGATAACTGTTAAAGGGATAAACTCTCTCTCGTCTCTACAGATCCAACATGGATCAAAAGAAAGATATCGGCCAATTTATCGTTAGCTGATTATTTTCTCTTCCTAATACCGATATCAGCCCCAAGAATCCATTTTGGTCGGGCCATGACCATCTTGTCTCCATTATATATATTTTCCACCAGTGTTTGATAACAGTCTTTGAGCGATCAACACAAATATCGACAACTTTCTATGTAAGGATCTAAGAACGATAATGTCCGATATCGGTATCTGATTTTTTTCTCTTCCTGATATCAATATCGGCCTCAAGAATCTCATATCGGTCAGGGCCAATAAGAAACTTCATGAAGATGTAGCTTTGATTCAATAAGGAAGCTGGATAATTATAAATGTCTAATGGAGAGGTTTCAATACTTCAGGTTTCAATATGTAAATTCAACTTCAAGTGTTTGATAAATTGAATCAATCATCACAACATTTGTTAAAACAAGAGGTAAGGTCTTCAGATCACTTTCTCGAACAGTCAACGTATATTTGACCATCAGAAAAGACAAAGAAAAGTTTAAATTCTCTCATATTTAAGAAGTTGAAACCACCGTTTGAAAATCAAGAAATTAGAGGAAAAAGTTGCCAACTCAAAACTTCAGACTCTTTATCTAGTCTGATGTCAAACACATGACAAAGAAATCGTAACAGCTGATCATAAATGAGCTCATGAGAAAGACTTTAGAAGCTCGAGGGTTGAACTGAGTACAGACAAAAGCAGAGAAGGTAAACTGCTGACCACACATCCACAGTTTATATCTGATGATTCACTTTTCTACAGCTTCGTCAGAGAGGACTCCCGCTGAGCGATGTCAGCCGCTCTGTGAATCTGGTTTTAGTTTGCTCAATGAATTCCATCAGCGTTGGACTCGAGCCACCCGACCCGACGACTGCTGAATGAAACTAAACAATTCCAAAGATATCACCGACCAACACACACAAGTAGGACAACATGGGAGCAAACCAGAAAACTTTCAGCTAGGTGAGACGGAAAAAACAAGGAGAAAAAAAGGCAAGAGCGGGAAACAACTGCACAAAAAAAAGACAAAGAGCTGTTCAGCATGCACGACAGGAAACCTGGATCTGCAGGAGACAAAACGGAAAGGAGGCAGAGCTAGAACAAAGTCAGGAAAAAAGCAGCCAAAGTAAAGAGTTAAAAACCTGAAAAGAGGCTGAAGACCCGGCTGTCCAGTTGGCGTTGTGTGCTGTGCGTTTGTGTGTGTGTGTGTGTGTGTGTGTGTGTGTGTGTCTGGCCGGCCGAAAACCCTACAAGCTGTCCCAGATGTGAGAGACTTGAGAAGTGATCAGAGCAGCATGAAGTAACAAGCCCACCCCCAACAACACAGAGGGGAGGAAACAGAGAGGGAGGGAGGGAGGGGAGAGAAAATCAGAAACAGAGACAGTCAGTGAGGGAAAATAAGACCAGGAAATGAGAAAAAAGGTGAAGGTAGAGAGAGAGAGAGAGAGAGAGAGAGAGAGAGAGAGAGAGAGAGAGAGAGAGAGAGAGAGAGAGAGAGAGAGAGAGAGAGAGAGAGAGCTGGAAACTTCAACAGAGGGCGAAATAACTGTTTTCACAAAGACTCAACCTGGCTTAACAAACTTCTGATAAGCCGTGTTGACTGAGATCTTTTTCTTGATGTTTATTTTAGGGATTCCCTAATGAGACCTTCATTCTCACTTTGCTTTTTCTACTGCAGAACATTTAGGATTTTAAAAAGAGTTACAACGACACCAAGTCAGGAAAACCTGCAAAACACAACCACACTTTATATACTACTAAGTCAGAAAAAGATCTCTCATGTAGGATCCCAAAAAGCAGCTTGACATTCATTCAAACCCTTTCTAAAAAAAACATCACATCGTCTGAACCACCAGGAGAGTTGGCCGGCAAATACAGTTCAGTGTCTACTTGGCAACGATTTTATTCAAATTCTGCTCTGCGAACAACGACAGATGTATTTGCAAGAGGATCCAAAGTCCAAAAGGGCAACGTTATGACAAAGAAGTACGCTCCGATTATATGCACACTGAAGTGAAAGTAGCTGCTTGTAGTCTGCAGTGTGGACTACAGAAAAAAACAAAAAAAAACAGTCAGATGTACAGTGAGAGTAGCACAGGGTGAGACTAAACAGCCAGTGTGTGATAAGCCTGTAATTTAACTAAACACTACATCACCATGCTAGAAATGTGCAGAAATCCAATCCTGGTATTAAGGAGGTTTTACATTCACCACTTATCAAGACAACACTCGGCCTCAATATTCACAATTTAAATTTGAAGTATGACAACCTGCAGAGGACTATGAGTGACAGCTTCACCCCTCTCACTAAATAAGAAAGAGAGAAGGCAGTCGGATGTGGTGTCTGTATTTGATATGAGAAATCTTGCGCGACATCTTAACATCATTATGTAGATAATAGTGAGTGCATAATACACAAAATACTACCAAGATATGTACGAAGATTAAACACCTGAGGATGAACTGAACAATTCAAGACATCCAGATGTAAATGTTAAGATGGCACAATAGAGGAAGTGAAAAGAATTAGTTGAGCTGTAAGGATCCATCATCCTCTGGGGGACTTTCATTTCTGTGTGAAATTTGAAGGCAACCCATCCAGTGGTAGTTCAGATATTTAAGCCTCGACCAAAGCAGCCGAGTGAAAAAAACCGACACCTACTCGACTATCTGCAGAGCCGTGATGCTGGCATGGCTGAGAGAGCAAAGTGAGCGACCACAAGAAAGTTCAAACTTCTGCATAACAAGCCGCATGTAGAGTCAAAGTTTAACAGTGTAAACACAACTTTCAAGGTAAGTCCAGATGTAAACATCATGCCATAAAGTCACAGAATCTGAGCGATGCAGACCGAGCGCACTGACACACTACAGAGCTCCTCTTTCTGAATTGTTCAATTTGATTTTAAGTAGACCAAAAAGCAAAGATAAACGAGATCTGTGTAAAAAGAAGAGCACCACACCTACCTGAGACTGAAGCAGCGTTCTGACCCTGCACCCTTCCCACAGACGCACAGAGACAGAGTCTTTCTAACACTCCCTCCCACACAGATCAGGTGGGACAGAGGCATCCTGTTACCACTGCAGCATGACAGCACACGCTAACACCACTCCGCTGCTTTTACCGCACGAGTGTGTGTGTGTGTGTGAGTGGAAACACTGCTCAATGTTAAACAACAGACGCCTCACTGAAGATTTATGTCTCTAATAAAAGACTTTTTAGCCTAATTTATTGCATTCCTATAAACACACGTGCTAGCAACTCTAAACAATGTGAGTGCAGCAGTATAAGACCGCTACATTACTGGAGTTTTCACACTTTATTTTAATTTCCTTTACCACTAAAACAACAATTATAATCCACAAAATGCAGGGCTGAGAGTGAACGTCACACTCCCCTACATTCAAATAAAAGCTGAACTTCAGAGGCAGAAGAAGTGTCAGATAAAGATCGATGTGAAAACCAGTGGGAGTGGACCCTGAGTGTTTGCAGTATCAGCTCCTAGTTTGAAGTAGCTCAAAGTTGAGTCTCCAGCCGGCGACAAAAAGTCATCTTCCATTATCAAGAACTATCAAGAAATATCAAGAAAAAGCGAGTCAATGATTAAACATGAGGTTCAAAGAGTCGTGTCAGGCTACCAAACAAACCATTTCCTCTTCATATCTTAAAGTGAAGATCTCCCTTTAGTAGTGTTAGTTAGCACCACCTAGCTCACACAGCGTAGCATTTATTGCATGTTTTTTGGGGGGATTTCAAGCTAAAAAAGATCCTTTGCAGTGTCCTTGCTCATGATTTTGACAGATGTCCTTCCTCTGAACTTCAAATTCATTTCTTGTCTTTCATCTGTAGTCAGTCTCTTTCTTTTTGGTGTAGGTAGCTCTTTATTTGCAGACATCACAGGAAACAGCAAACCACTTCAGCCTACTGTCTTCAGCTGATAAAACCACAGCTGAGTTCATGTGTGACTTCTCTTTCCCCGAAGTGTCGACACTGCACCCAGTTTGTAATAGCAGAGAAGACCGTAAATGCAAATGGTTTCATCAGCAGGTCATAGCCTCAAACACCGCTGTGCAACCACGGTCAGCAAAAGAGAGAAGCTTAACAGACATGTATGTACCCGAGAGAATTTAAAATTAGACCCTGAGAATATTTTCTTTAACTTGAATGTTATTTCACTAGCTGTACAATGCTCTATACAAAACTTCACAACAAGTTAAATCCCTGCTTTCATAATTCAGAGTATTGTACAGACTGTGCTACACAGCTCCTGGTACAGGCTCGTTATATCACATTACATCTTCTTACTGGCAGGTCTTCCTACAGGCACTATCAAACCCCCTGCAGATGATCCAAAATGTAGCAGCACGACTGGTCTTCAACCTTCCTAAAAGAGCACATGTCACTCCGCTGTTCATCTCCTTACACTGGCTCCCAGTTACTGCTCGCATCAAATTTAAAACTCTGCTGCTCGCTTACAAAACAGCGACAAAAACTGCTCCTCCTTACATAAACTCTACAGTCCCACTACACTCTGCCAATGGCCCAAAGTATCCAACTCTACTCTTCTCCTGTCGCCCCCCAGTGGTGAAACAAACGTCCAAACTCCATTTGAGTCCATTTGAGTCCCTTTGCACCTTTAAGTAAAAGCTAAAGACCCAGCTCTTTATGAACACACACGACCTTAATGATAGTATTGATGACGATAATGATGGTTTTGTTTGATCATGACAATGATATTTAGGATGGTTTTGATGCTGATTAGAACATCTGTCCATGTTGTGATTTGCCTTTTGTCACTTCCTGTGTGTCTGAGCGGACATAAAGCTGCACTTCCTGAAGTTGCTTCCTCTTTTCTAGATCCTTGCTCGAGTTGTTCTTACTCTCTGATGTATGTTGCTTTGGATAAAAGCGTCTGCTGAATGTTGTAGAATTGCATATCGAACGCTGAATGCACAAACCAGATGTGTGTCTTATTAAATTTGGTACATACTGCTTTCTTCTTCTCTGCGTTGCCTTCCTCCGCTGCCATCTGGTACCTGAGGACAACAAGAGAGACAAGTTGTGAACTGAAGAACATTTATTTATCATCACAAAAATGCTGGTCCTGTCTCATCCTGCTGAACACGCCCAAGGGGAATTCACATGAAATGTTCTCGCTCCAAAAAACAGATGATTTCATGTGAAGCAGTTAATCTGGATGGAAAGATCATTCAGCCCATGTTTGGACATGCAAGAGGAGGACCAGGAAGTGACAAAGAGGACTTGAGCTGTTGACCACCTCTGCTTCTAAACTCTAGAGAAAACCCAGACTCTATTGTCTTTCACCTCTGACCACAGAATTTTCTAAAACACTCCCGTCTGACAGGAAGCTCAGACCTAAAAAGGAGCAAAACCCTCAGACCACAAGAATAGTTTCATCATGACTGCTGCTGGCCTCAGCAACACGACTTTCCAAACTGCACCAATGAAACTCCACGGTTACATTTACAACACCTAAATTATTACAGAACAACTTCCTCTCATCATAGAATATATTAAAGGTCCAATACTATCTGATCAGACATTAAGGAAACATGCTATGTTGAAGTGCTGGCTTCTCTGACAGCAATGCAGCAGCCAGTATGTCCTCCTTCTAACTTTAGATTCTGCTCCTGAATGCTCTGGATTTGTTTGGACCAGAGAAGGTAGGCGCTTTTAAGACACCTCCCCTCACGGCCGTTTTGGACGCCCCTCGGTTTGTCAGATATGAGAGCAGTTATCAGGTCAACAGGTGTTGCAGCGATGGAAGCGAAGTGGTTCAGATAGAAGTGATTGTACCCGACCTAAAAAGCCTCTGCATGTTTCTAATAAGCTCCACGAGCAGAAACGTGCTCAAACTAGGATCAATATTGGAGATGCTTTTGAAAAATGGAGAGAGGTTAGAACACAGAAAGGTTTACAGACCCATGCAGAGCTGGATAAACACTGAAAACCCCTTTCACAACTTGTTAACTCTGACACAAGAGATTCTTTTCCGTTGTTGTGCTCACAGTAAATAAGCCTCACCCCACTCGATTCCTTCTCATTTTTCCGTTCACTCCCAAACCCAAATATTTATGTCCTTTCCTAATAAGATTTTACCATCAAAGAAAGAGTGTGGCAATGTTTTCTTTTCCTTTCCGTGTTATTGTTCATGAATTTATTGGGAAAACTTAATTAAAGCTGCTGTGAGGAACCTTCCCTTCTTGTAAGATATGGCGCCCCCCTGTGTTCAAAATGTTACCTCTCATCTCTGCTGATCTTTGCCCTGAACATGTATAAGTCATGTTTTGACTAGAAATGTCATCCTGCTGTCTTTTAACAGTCTAAAATACACTCACTTTTAACCTCAACACTAATATATATACACAAAGGATGTTCAGCTGCAGTAACATCGACTTCATGGCGATAATTCATCCTCTTCCTCGAGGTCTGGTTTGTTTTTGTCGGTCATAAAGAGACGTCAGTAGCTATAAACTTTGAGTCTAGAAACATTTTTATGGCTCAGAGTTTTTCAATGACACTCTGGGGGGCTCCAACTCCACAGATGGGATGTTTTTAATTTTAGATCAATAGTTCCCAACCTGAAGTCTTGGACCCCCTAAGGAGGGGGGGGGGGGCTCAGTCTACTCTGAGGTTGTCAAAAATAGATTTTTGCACGTATCTAATAAAATTATGTTAAAATACTACAGGGAAATGTATACAAAGGTGTTTTGATGCTGAAAGCAATGCATCAGTTTTTTCATGTGACTCCTTGGGTGGGAGTGGGGCTTGGTGTTTGTTAGACACAAGTGGGGAGGGGGGGCTTCAAGGGAAAAAAGATTGGGAACCACTGAAGTTAAAACAGCAAACATACAATTCTTATTTGAGAGTATATTTTGTTATTAGTTTTTCTTTTAAAGGCTTTATATGTGATTTTTTGATCCAGCAGATGTCGCCCGTGAGCACCAGCATGAAACCAAAACAACTCGCGCTGCATTGTTGTGTTAGCATGCTAATGCTAGCGATCTTTATTATGCTGGTATCTTCACACTGCATGTAAATTTACCTGAAATGAGCGTGATCTAGAAACACAGTTAAGCAGTGAGTACAGTATGTTATTCTTCTTTTCTCTAGTCCCTCAATTAAACAACTTTTATACACGAGGGGAGGAGTCAGCCGCTGTCCGGGCGATGTAAACAAAGTGAAGATAGGACTCTGAAAACTCTGAAAACATCACAGACAGTGGGACTCGGGTGTTACACCCATTGTAGACAGTCATGACTCAGTTATTTTCAGAGGATATACTTGATTTCTACATTTAAGTGTGAAAAATCACATATAAAGTCTTTAAATAAAAAACACACCATCAGTCAGAATGAAATCTGGTGAATGGTGTTTCATAAAAAGTTAAGATTTGAAAATAAATGTAACAATTTCTCACACTTGGAGGAAAAACAATAAATGTCTAAGTTGTCACGCAGGGCAGTACTCACCCCTAGTTGTCAGATAGAGTAAGTACAAGGAGGAAATATCCAACCATATAACCTTCCATCTCACTCATTAGTAACTTGATATGTGAAAGGGGAAGCCCTGGATATGTGTGAGTGCTTCTAAGAAAAAGTCTTAATCTGTACGAGCCTTAACAGGAACTAAACCAGAACAACTGGTAGTTCATGACGGCGTGATAAGTCACATTTTTACAGAAAAGAGGAAGCTGAATCAGCTGGTTAGAAAGTGTTGAAAGGCAGACTATGACCTCGTTTCTGATGAGCAGAGGAGACGTCCGGGGGAGGGGAATCAAATAATCTGCTGAGTGGCTGCTGATGAATTATTAAACTCCAGGAGGAAGCTGGAGAGTAAGAGGAGAGGAGAGGTTAGACTCACTTGGAGAAACGCTCAGCGATGGCGTTGTTTTTCCCTCGGGCTGTGACGATGGACATTTCCTTGGCGGTGACCCTGAGGGATTGGGACGCCCACTGTCTGCGGCTGAACGGAGCGACGGAGGCCATCTTTGCTGCACGTCTGAGCGATCAATCTGTGGTGTGGATTTTGCCAGGAAACACACGCCGTAACTCTGCAGGGAGGCAGGGAGAGAGGACACACACACAAAAAAGAAAGGGCAGGTTGAGCCAAAATGAAAACAAAACAAAAGCCACACAGCAACAAGTCCTGGTGCAACAAAGTTTTCAGCAACCTCTTCTTTGCACGTTTGGGGGGTCCAAAACTTAGCAGAGGAGAAACATCTTTCCTGAGCATTTACACACTGCTCGATTAACTTCTAACTTCCATCTCTACTGTGGTCATTTGCTCAGTGAGACAGAGGTTTGAGATCTGACCTGGCAAAGCAAAAGCTCATCTAGAAATCAATACATTTTGCCACATCACACATTTGACTCTGTCACCACGGCAGCATGAAGCAGCCTCCCTGTCTGAGTCAGAAAGTCAATAGAGCGTGTCACACAGGCATTGACCATCTGTTCCCTGTGACTCGATCTGAAGCCTCCAGGGCGACTACAAGCCGACAACCAACACACTGCTGCATCATCGCAAACAATCTCCTCCTTTGTAGCGCACTGACACACTTTCACAACACCTCGCAATGTCTCTACCTGCTCACCTCTTCTGCAACTTTACAGCCCGGAGGCGGAGCGACAGGCAGGCGCATGTTGCAGCAACATCGTCAGCTTACAACTAATAACTGTCATCTGTGAGTTACACACGCTCCGGGTGAATCAAACAATAAAAGGCGGACGAGCCGGGGAGATGACGGAGCAGCCTGCGGGGTCCCGACGTCACTCAGCAGGTGGACTATTGTCAAGTTAGAGACTGGCTCGTTAATTCCTTTAACATCGTGTCCTTTGTGTTTTTAGACATCAGGAATGGTTTGAATAAAACAAAATGATTTAAGGTTTTATCTTCATGTGAAACTACAAGTGGAGATTATTAATATCAGTGAACGTGCTTGATCTTAATTCATCTGAAGGCTGTAAACGATTAGAGTTAAAAATGTTTATCACAGTTTACTAGAAGTCAAGCAAACAACTTTCAATTCCTAATGTGGTTTGTGTTTTTTTATAAGGGAAAAATAAAAATTCCTTCCTCATGTGAGATGCTAAAAACAAAAAAATGTCTTCTTGAAAACATTTCATTTAAAGCCCTTACTTCTAAAACTCTGACATTTAAACTTCACAATGAATGACTTCTTTTTCTCCCAACAAGAAAGTTATTTTCTATAAAGTTTGTAACGTCTTGAAGAACAGTGAGTGGGACCACCGTGAACATTTCAAGCCTGAAACCAAAAACATTCTTCACCAATTTAAAGTCCAGATATTCAGCAAGTTTGCTCAAATCATCAAACCATCAAAAAAACTAATTTAATTCAGTTTTACTCTTGTTGCACATTTCATACAAATCTAAATGCAATGTGCTTCACAGAAGACACAAATAAACAAATGCATTTTTTTTTTTTTTTTTTAAAAGGAAAAATTGGATTCAAAAAAAAAAAAAAAAAGACCCTGCATCATCCCATACCACGCACATGCACAGGAGCATACACAACCATCATATGTACACATACAGAAAAATAAACAAGCAGCCGAGACCTAACTGACCTGTCCTTGGTGCTGCACATGGAGACAATCCAGTATGGCATGATGGGAAATCTGAACATTTTTCTGCATCTGGCAGCCTTTTTTTGGATTAGTCTACCTTGCATGTTTTAACAGAGTTCCCAGACAGTGAATGTTTTTTTTTTTTTTTTTTACAGCTAACTGCCCTGTAAATGTTTGTGTTGAGAAATATTGTGCAAGTGAAGCAAAGTAGAATAATGTCCTGCAAAGTCAGCCCTGTTGTCTTTCTGTCTGAATTTATTCTTTACACTCTGTAAAATTCCTGAAAATGTTCATAAAAACATTGTAAAAATAATTAATATTAAACTAGCAGCCAAAGGCGAAGAGAGAATCAATGTTTTAGGACATAAATACCAGACAATTTACTCGTACTGAATACTGAAAGTACTCCATTTCAGACACATCCAAGTCTTTAAATGTCTATTTCTGAATAAAAGTCCCAAAACGTGAACAAAAATGTAGTTTAAATTTATGAAAAATGGAGAAAAACTCAAAATCTGTTGCAATTTAACAACTGAAAACATCAAACATTTAATTAAATTTGTTTTAAAGCAGTGACTTTTTCTTACAAAGAATGGTTTCATTCTCACACACTACTATTGAAACTCCCATCATCATCATCATCATCATCACACTCAGTGTTACAGTTTCCTCCTCTCAGTAACTCGGTCAAAGCTACAATTCAGGTCACAGGGTTTAGATTACACACTGATGTAAACTGATGCTGACTTTGCAGAAATGACTTCAACGTCTCTTTGTCATGGAGACAAAAAGATCAGAGACCAAAGAACAAGCAGCCGTATCTGAAGTTCACAGCACACCTTCAAATTTGAATGATTTGTAGTTTTTGTAAAGATGATAAGAAAACATGGATGCTCCCTCTTAAACTTTAATGAAGCTCAAGTTACCAAAACAGCTTAACCTGCCGTTTCCCCAAAACATCAAGTCAAGATAAGAGAAAACAAACTCTTCATACCTGTGATTAGAATCAGCTGCTCGACTCCTTGAGGCAACGTGTTGTCCACTACTCGTATAATCCCTTCTCTTTTTTACTCCTCAGCTGTTTCCACCGGTGCTTTTTAAGTAGATAAAAGAGAGAAGGAGGAGTCCTAATACTCTATTTCACTCCTAACCAACCAATAAAGAAGCTGTATTCACCTCCACCTGGCAGGTACACGCTCTCTTCCCCTCCCCTGTCCAATCAGCAGCTCCGTCGGGGTTCAGTGCGAGTGCAGAGCAACATGGAGGTATGCGAGACGAGCAGCCTGAGGGCCCGGTGTTGAGCAACATGGCAGACAAGCAGCATGGAGGGGGGAAGGAGTGGGGAGGAGAGGGTTGAGGAGAGGGGGAGGGGGGAATCCCACACTGGATTCCTGGAAGCTGAGCAAACTGCCTTCTTTTTTTTTCTTTTTTTCACAAGGTCAAGACTTTGGAGGATGTGACTCATTCACAATCCTGCCAAGAAGAAGAAGATGAGGGGGGGGGGTTAAAGAGACTGGATTAGGATTTTACTGAAGAGATTTAAAGTTTGTTTGGACAAAGAAGTAAACATCTAAAGTGTGGGAAAATAGGATGGAAAAAAAAGGTGGAAAGATTCACTCGTTTTTATCCGACTGTAAGTCCTGCTTCCTGTTCATTAAAAGATCCCTCCCTAATGAGCTCGTAGTGGAAGTGACGGGGCGACAAAATTAGAGTCCACATTCCTCGAGTATATTCAGTTTTTCAAGATTTTATTTGGGGCTTTTCCCCCCCGAGGGAAGAGAGTGGAGAACGACACACAGGAAAAGATGCAGGACTAGAACCAGGACCACCCACCCAGAAGACCTCTGCACAAACCCAAGTCACCCCCCCCCCCCCATGTATATCCTATTTTTAACTAAATGTATCTAGGGGTGGGAATTGGGTAACTGGGGTGATTTTGATCTATAATATCTAGGGCCAGAACGATATGGGATTTTTGGGGCCGATATCGATATTGGGAAGAGAAAAAAAAAAATCAGATACAGAGAAAAGGCCGATATATTTCTTTGATCCATGTTTGATCTGTAGAGAAAGACTGATGTAGATATTTATTGCTTTTATCCCTTTAACAGTTATCAAACACTACGTGCATCACCACTCTGGATTGATAATGTTTGTGATAATCAATATAGCGCCCTCTGCTGGTGAAAGAGAACTGCTGGTGTAATACAATGAAACAAAAAACTGGTGAATAAATCTAGTGATCTCAGGGCACTTGATGTGATAATGTCGGCCGATATTATCTGCTCGCCAATTAATCGGTCGGGCTCTAATGAAATCGTCCATCACTAAACTCTAAGGGCTAAAACTTGTTTCTCCTTTCAGGTAAAAACACAAATAAAAGGATGATAGTGACTAAGTCAAGTCTACACTTCAGGTCACAGAGTTTAGATGACAAACAAAGCTGATTCTGGCCGTGCAAAACTGAATTTTAAAGTTCTGTTTTCAAAAGCAAGAAAACAAACTTAAGAAAAAAAAAACACCCTTTACAGGACCCACTTGGTGCCCTAGGCAAGATTTCAGCTGGAGCCCCTTGTATTGCAACCAGTTCCACCACCAATCACAATATTCCTACACTTTAAGACAACAGGCATACAGCTTTATGTATTACAGCTGTTCTTTACGATCAGTGTCAATCGCTTCTGATAACTCGTCTGCCCTCCTCACCTACAAAAAGCAGGGAGCAAGAAAATAGGGCCTTTTTAAATAGGTGATGCAGATAAAATAACATTAAGTAAAAGTTAAACACACGTTTCCTTCCTCACTCGGGTGCCCCCTATGGACGGCAGGCGTCCCTTACATTTGCCTGTACTGCCTATGCCAAGGGCCCACCCTGGGATCATGAGTAAGAAGTGACTACTTGATACATCTCTTTTTGTCTGACCAATAGTCAAACATCCCCAAAAAAAGGGTCAATTTTTACCAAGTAAGAGAAAACAAGCTGAATATTTTTACACATAAGACACAGAAACCATCTATTATTTAAAGTTTTGGCTTGACTCGTCACTAAAACATGTTATTTCCTCGTGGCTTTCCCTTCCTTAAAAACACTAGCGGTTCATCGGCCAAATGTTTGACGTGGTGCACCGAGGTCCTGTGGGATGATTGGACCTCGGCGCTGTGGTGGCCCTGAGAGACTTTCAGCTCCGTCAGTGTCACGTTAGAGAGTCAGTCTAATCCCAAACACATGACGGCTGAGCAGAGGGAGCCGGCCTCATCTTAACTCTTCACTCAGGATTCCTGAGAACTTCAGTTTTATCTCGACTGTAATGATGAGAGAGGTGGAGAGGAGTCCCATGATCGGGTTGTCATGGCAATAAGGGAGGGGTCATGGGGTAGATAGTATTAGGAGCTCCGGGCCTTTTGAAGTTGGAGATGCTGTTTGGGTTGGGGTGAGGGCCATGTGGTGGGTCATTATGTAACTTATCAGCAAGGCCAAAAAGCATTAGGATGAATGTGGAGGGGTCGTTATAGGCAATTTCCCTTTCCAATAGGGTAAAATGTTCTTTTTTATTTAAAAGAAAAGATCAAACGATGGGGTCAAAAGTCATCAATGATTTGTTAAAGTCTCGTCTGTTTTTCCCAGCCTCTCTGGATGAACTCTCAAATATTATACTCCAGCTTTGATTTGTGTCTCTATCAAGTTTCTGCAGGAGAACAAGATGAGAAAATATTGAAATACTCAATTTAAATTCCTTAAAACATGTCCTGAAGTGCAGATCTTTGGTATTAGTCTGTACACCATGACACACAAAACATCAGGCCTGTTGCCTGGATCAGTGGTTCTCAACTGGTCTAGACCCAAATGTTGGATATTTTTCAACCAATGAGATTTGTTTTATGAAAAGCTGTTCAGTTTGGACATCAGACGGTACAAAAACATGTGACAGAACAAAGAGATGAAACTAAACAAACATGTTTTAAAAGTGATATTTAGACTTATTGACACTTTCGCGACCCACTGAAAACAACTCAACGACCCAGAAGTTGAGAACCACCGGCCAAGATCCTACTAACCAGTTGTATGTTCAGTGGGTAAAAACGAGACCATGAGATAAACAGAAAAATGCATAAATGGGACAAAGTGAGAGACACTTATCTCAGGTATGAAATCCCCTTACACACATCAGTGTCTGCATCCTGACTCAGCATCATTATGAAAGAGAAAGAACTTCACTCTTATTCATGACTACCAAAAAGACATCTCAAGTGTAGACAGACAGAAACTTAAAAATGCTCGGAGCAGATTCCTCTCATGATTAAGGGAGAGTCCATGTTGTAATATCTACGGCCTGGTTAGGAGTGAAAGGGAGTCCAGATTGCTTGTCTGTTTGGAGTTCACAGGAAGTTTGGATTAACAGTTGTGCAATGTCTTTCTGTGGCTCCGGCCGAGCGATCTCAAGATGATGTCATCTGGGTGAGCCGAGCAAAGACGCTATTGGTCAGACTCTGGGAAGAATTAGAGGAAGTGTTTTGGAGAGTTTTAGACATACACTGTATAAACTGACTCATGTGGCAAACCAGCTCTGGAGCTCCTTTCACTACAGATGGAACCCGACCCTGGCCGGCACCTAACACTAAGCCAAACGCAGCTATACATCAGCATTAGGAAACACAGAATGTGAAACAATGCGGGATGTTGAGGCAAACATTGAAAGAGTAAAAACTGAGTAAGAGTGTGTTTTTATTTCATTAGCCAGACCAAGCGAGTGTATTCTTCTCTTCTACTGATTTATGTTGCGTTTAGTAAATAGGTTCCACCTATGGGGGCAGAATATGTAAATTAGCTGCCAGTCAACTCAGGTGAAATTACTTCATTTGTTTGTACAAAAGACGTAACAGTCCAACATATAAAAATACAACTTTATTATAGGTTTGATTTTATTTTTGGTAACAAGATGCAAAAACTGTGGGACAAAGTTGACAGGTAGCAAAAGACCACAGACCAAGTGTTTGCACCAAAATATCAATATCACCATAAGGTGGCGCTAGAGGGGGGGGGGAGACTACAAAGATTCATACTGCAGACACAAACAGATCTGCCCTAAACGTTCATTGAATCCACCAAACACTCTACCATCACCTCAGAGCCACAACCGAGGTGTGCTATATCTTCATTGTGTTCAAAAGAGTTGATTTGAGAGCTCATGTTTTGGGTGGTATTCTGTTTTTTTTTTGCTTGCACAGGTCAAAGTACACCTGGTCTACATAGCTGGTCTGCTTCCCACGCGGAAACTGAGGCCTTCAACCTGAACCAAATAAACCAACATCTTTTTCTACACTCGCCACCTGAAGCCTTATATCATCATATTCAACATGACAGCAGGGATTCACTTTAAATATCCATAAAAGGCTTTAACTGTTGAAGTGAGTCATCCCACAGACAGACAGGTGGTCTCACTCTCACCTGACTGAGACACAATCAGCTCAGGTGAACACTGACTCACGCTCTTGTCTCGACAGGTAAACGCTGATTTATGATCAGAACTCGTGTTAACACGTTTTTTGTTTTTTTTCCCACACACGTATTACCTCAGTTGTGTTGCATAATGTTTGTCTTACTCACCTGAGCAGACGCAGGTAGTTCGTCAGGGCCTCGCTCGTGTCAGACAGGTGCCGTGGGGCGAACAGGAGGAGTGCTGATGCAGCAATTAACGGATAACTTTAATCAAGACGCCATCGCGATACTTAATATGTATCCTTCCGCGTAGTTGGCTGTCCGTTAGCGCATTGATACCTGAGGTCAACTGCGGTCAGGTGGCTTTTAATGTGATGTGGCTTATTTTAAATTTACTGAAGTTTGAACTGTTTAATATCAGTTTCAAATAAATTGATGGTGTCAATTAGATGTTAGGCTAATTTGACATGCAAATCACTGAAAGTTAATGGATTGTTTTAATTTGAAAGGGACTATAATTGTTGCCATTTGATGCATTGTACCAAAGTTAGTTTAGAGCTAATTTAAAATTTGCTATTTGAAAATTCTGAGGAACCACTGGTTATATTTTTCTTTCAACTTTAAGTTAGTTCCCACTATCAGTAGTAGTAGTTATTATTGGGACCTGACTGATTTATTAAAAAGTACACTTAAGTCCAG